AAAGAGTAAAATTTTATCGGTTGAACAGTTTCCAATAAAGTTAAAGATAACTTTAAAACCTCAAAATATACCTTAAAATCTCAAAACATCTTATATTTTGAAATAAAATAAATCTTATAAAACATCATCTATTTAAAATGGAGTGAGTATTATATAATTTCAAATATTTTCGTATTAAAATACCCGCACGGTTGTGCGGATCGAGATCTAGTATTGAATTAATCAAAGAAAATACAACTTTTTCTCATTTGAATCTTCTACAACACACACACACACACACAAAAACGAGCATCAGGTATGTCCGTGTAAGATGCATACATCTTATACAAAACGGATTAAAGTCGGAAATTACAAACACAATTTACTTGTGCCACAACGTTTGATTTGTATTGATTACACTTGGCAACGAAGCAGCAACCTCTTCCCTCTTTCTCTCTTCTCTCACCTTCACAGCACAGCTAAAACCAGGAGAGCTTTTCTTTCCAGACACAAGTATAGCTTCACTCTTAACCTGGATTTCAACTCTAAGAAACAAATTACTAAACAAAACCTCGCCTGACCTTGCAGACCAACAATCCGACTACTTATGGGATGTTGAACAAACAACAGTGTAAGACTTATAATGAACACACGTACAATTGATAGTTTTGTCTATAGCCTTGAGCCGTGTTGAGGCCTGAAACCATTTGTAATGCACAGTTCAACGACTTTTTATTTTAAAATGTCCAAGTCAAAGTTCGAAGTTCAGCCCATGCGCTGATCACAAACGGACTCAAATATATCGAAGTTATATCCTTCAGTACATCCCCAAGTAAGAGCTATCCTATAAATGGATAAAAGGGAAATGCTTAAACATTTTGCTTAAACATTATACTAACACTCTAGTCTTCGATATATTAACTTCTAGGTTCTCCGATTGAAACTATGATGTCATTTAAGACTTTAGAATATAAGACAATGATTAATCCGAGTTCTTAATTTGGAATTCTTAACTTACGATTTGATCCTATTTTTAAAAATATTTTCGGTTAAAAATTGGTTATTATATCTTTTATTTAAAAGATGACTATTAGTTTTTCTTAATTAAAATCTAAAAAATAATTCTTAGTCGAAGATAAGAACTCTACCATAAGAATCCGGGTTAGTCATGGTCTAATGATCCACGATATCAGATGACTCCTCCTGGTTCTTACTTGACGGTACATGATCTTTCGTTTATCCTAGCCCTGGGCTTATTATCCAAAATCCGTTAACCGAACCGGAACTAAAAAAATCCGAGACCGAAACCGGTCCGAAAAACGTCACGCATTTTCTTTAGCCTATGGTAAACACAAACGAATCGTGGTTTTAATACTTTAAACCGACACAAAGTCCTCATGCCTATACAGAAAACGCCAAGCATTTCTTCAACTCTCTTCTCTAGAAAGGCTTTCACAATCTCTGTGAAAAGAGGAAGCAAAGTCGATTCATCACAATCTCAGATGAGCTCCGATCGGTGCGTGAAACCCTAATCCCCCCAACAGTCTCATCTTCCCACGATAAAATCTCATCGGGAAAGCTCTATTCAGCGTCGAACATGGACGGTAACAAAGACGACGCGTTGAAATGCCTAAAAATCGGCAAAGACGCGATCGAATCCGGAGATCGATCACGCGCCTCGAGATTCCTCGAGAAAGCTCGTCGTCTCGATCCGTCTCTCCCGATCGACGATCTCCTCTCGGATCTGAACAATAAAGCTTCCCCTGGATCCACCGCGCCTAAACCGTCTCTTCGCCAACGCGGATCTTCCTCAACCGCCGCATCAGGATCTTCATCATCATCATCATCCTTATCCTTCACTGAAGAGCAACGAGCGATCGTGAGAGAGATCAAGTCGAAGAAAGACTACTACGAGATTCTCGGATTGGGGAAAACCTCATCAGTCGAAGATATGAGGAAAGCGTACCGTAAACTCTCGTTGAAAGTCCATCCCGATAAGAACAAAGCTCCCGGATCAGAAGAAGCGTTCAAATCCGTCTCCAAGGCGTTTCAGTGCTTAAGCAACGAAGACGCGAGGAGAAAATACGACGTCAGTGGCTCCGATGAGCCTTCCTATCAAACACACCGATCCACTAGAAGACACCAACACCACAACGGATTCAATGGATTCTACGACGACGAATTCGACGCTGACGAGATTTTCAGAAGCTTCTTCGGAGGCGGAGGGATGGCTCCTGCAGCTACTCAGTTCCGTTCATTCAACTTCGGAGGAGGAGGAGGGAATAGAGCAGCAGCGGCTAATCAAGGCTCTGATACTACAGGGTTTAATCCACGTGTCCTTCTTCAGTTACTTCCCGTGGTGTTCATATTGCTACTCAACTTCATGCCGTCTCCGCAACCGATTTACTCACTCTCTGCTTCGTATCAGTACGAGCACAAGTTTACGACGCATAAGGGGGTTAATTACTTTGTTAGATCGGCTAAGTTCGAGCAGGAGTATCCTATTAATAGTCTCGAGAGACAGAGGGTTGAGGCGCAAGTGGATAGAGATTACTTGTCGATATTGGGGCAGAATTGTAGGTATGAGCTTCAGAGACAGCAATGGGGGTATGTTCGTGAGACGCCTCATTGTGATATGATGAGGAGGTTTGATTCAGCTGCTGCTGCTTAAACTTATCCAAGTTAGTATATTCAAGAGGTATGATCATTCTGAGGTATGGAGATGTTTACTAATGTCTGAGCGTTTTTGTTGATGCCCCTCTCGGTGAGTTTGATATCCCCAAACCCAACCTTTTATATACGTTGATTACTGGTCTTGGTGTTTATTATGAAACATTTATTATGTGTGTGTACTTGGAATAAGACTTATTTTGGTCTGCCTTGCATTTTCTGTGTGTAAGGTAGCAAAACAAAAAAATTATTTACATCAAACGTTTCCAATTATATCTTGTAGAAAAATGAAACTTGTATAGTTGAAGTTGTAGATTTATATATAATAGTTTCGTTTCAAGCCATAAAGAATAGGAAAACAATTAGGAACTGTTTGTAAGATAACAGATCATAATCCATTTACTTGATGAGGTTCGAGTGAGATGCTGTAGAAGGGCACTGCGTGCTCCCTCTACGTTAACTAACGATTCATCCATTTTGTCACCGGTTCTGTTCCACAAAACCCACAGGTGTTAAGTGTTAACTGTGAGTGTTACCTGAAACCTCAGGAATATGGTCAGGTTGTGGGTAAAGAACGTGAAAGAACCCGATAGCTAGTTCTCACTGTTAAGTGACCATTGTAGCTTTGATGCGTTAATATTCCAATGTGGCTATAGTTGTTCTCGTGAATTGGGACAGTTTGCTGTTATATGGACATCACAGTTTGCAGTGCTGCAACAACACCATATGCTTATACATGATTTGACCTTAAAGCGTCGTACACAATCAAGAATTGTTCATGAGCCTTCATGTTCTGCAGGAAGACAAGACATTTTCCAGTCGGATACTCTCTCATGTCGTATAATAGGCAAAAGATACAAATCGATACAAAATCTACAAAATCAAACCCCTGAATCTCTTAGTTAGAGCATCTTGAAACGTAAGACTTTACTCAAACAAACTTGAGCCCAAAGCCAAAACCAGTTTACAGACAAAAATCCCCTAATATATCCCTCTGAATTCTCTCGTGCTATAAGTTAAAAGTTCTAATAATTCGTCAAGTTCTTCTTGGTGAGCTCTTCTTCATGAGAAAAAAAAAATTACATCCTGAAAAGTAAAAGTAGTAATAAATCACCGTTCTTTATCATTTATATATGCACCATTTCACGATAATAATAACGTTCCTATAAGTTGACGTCGATACCCGTTTTGAATTCATATAACAAGTAAATACCAAAACTTATATAGCAATTATGATCTTAAATTTACGAATTACAAAAACAATATCATAGTGAATGGCAAATTAAGAGGTTTAAAAGAAAAACAAGTGAATGGAATTAAAGTTTTGGGGGTTATGTTGGATGGATCGGCGACAAACGTGGAACCTTCCCAAGCTTCGTAAACAGTAGGGAGGTCTCTGTCTCTACTCCTTGCCCTACATTTTCAAGCGTGCCATAATTTCATGGCCTTGTTTCCTGAGTTTTCATTTCCTTTTTCTTGATTGCCACCAACATGAAATCAAAATTTACTTAACACCACTTACCTGCCGTGTAGTAATTTTTTTGTTTTAACACCTTGCCGTGTAGTATTTATTTTCTTATATTATAAGATTTGGTGTTTTGAAACTCTTCAAAAAAAATATAGAGAAAGAACATTGACCTAGGAGTTAGAGATAAAACACCCATTGCCAAGAACTAGTAGCCAAATATATGTCGTCTGAAGCTTTATTTCTCATAAACATTATATATTCTTGATTATAAAAGATACATTTGCTTACTACTAATTGATTAATCTGTATTAAAGTATTGGTTCATTGAAACATCATTGGGAATTGCATGTAAGTGGGCATTACAATGTGAGACCACCTTCCACTTTTTTGACTACGATAAGAACACACTCTGTAGCTTTTGGACTAGTATACACATGCCATATCATATATGCATATAAACTATACCGCTAATTACATAAAAGCAAAGAAATATACTCACGTTCTCTTTAAACTGGCATGTATATATAGCACAATATAACATACCATATCAATTTTTATATATTTATAACGAAATTTAGAAATGGTAAAAGATATACTTTATTGTTTTAGAAATGGTATAATGGTATGCAAATTAGATGTGAAAAAAAATTCAACAAAAAAATATGAAAAGTAATCGTTATCTAATAGTTAATTTGTGGATGAATCCAACTGAAAAACGCCAATGTATGCTTTGACTTTGAGGCCAAATCTATCTTATAAGTTTGCAATTGAATTTCAAAAACGTGATATAATATAAAGTTTGTACGTATTAGTATGTTGTGTAGTAGATAGACTCTTGTTTATAAAAACAATGTTTGGTTTTATTCGAATTGTCATTTTACTCTTTGCATCTTTAGTCTTCGCTTAGCGTCTCGTGCATGTCTTCCTCAAAATCATCACCACTAAAATATACCTCACGTACACTCACAATATTTCTCTATGCCAAAGGTCTAAAACTCATCCTAATTCAATTTTTTGCATAAGTTACTCCACCTGTCATTCTGCTTACAACATTTTATGGAGACATAGTTACGTACATATATATTGAAAATGTGATCTAACATATGATAGATCATAGAAGTTTATCTTGATTACATAAATATTTTACAAATATCAAAACTATGTATATCATCCAAACGACAAAACCTACACAATTATTATCTAATAAGACTAATACACATAAAATTCTATCAATAAGATACTTAAAATTCTATAATACAAACACCTAACTTGAATGTTTCTGCGTATAAGGAATTAAGTAGTGTACTTTTGTAGACAGGCTGAGTTATTAATTTAGATTTATATTCTTTTAAAGGGTTCCATTCAACTTTATAATCACCACTACCGACCAGATTACTTTATCAAGTGTCACAGCTTTTGTGGAAAATTTTCCGTTAATTCATCAGCTTTTTAGTATGTTGATCACTAATATTATATAAATTATTAAATTAATTTTTGCGGCTAGTTTTAGATGATCGAACTACGATAACTGATCACACGTAGTATATAATATAAGAACTCAAAATTTATTCAATCACTGGACATGGCTACTAGAAAGTAATCAACAACCAAATCGGTATAATTACTTACGTATATGCTTATGCATACGTAGCACAGAACCCTAGCTAAGTATGATAAAGAAAACGATCAAATCTCAGAAAAAAAAAACACTCCCTTCCAAATCCCAAAAAGGGCATGCATTTCGTAATAAACAACGCACTGATTCTGTTTTATTTCTTCTACATCTATCCTACAGAACACTAATTAAACGACACAAAACTCAAAACACAGACACACATTTATTTAACTAGTCTCATTGCTGTTTCTTTTGTGATTATTATAATAACAAAAATATTCTAAAAAAAAATTAAAAGAACCACCATCTAATCATATCTATATATATATTCAAACCCTCGTACATTCACATCACTAAGTCCATCTTAACACACCTAATCACATAAATAAAAACATTTTCAAACCAAAGACTGAAGCTACTAGATCACATGATGTCGTCAGGAGAATTCCCCATTAAAGCTAGAAGCTTAGGTAATAACAACAACGGAGGTGGAGGAACAGGGACAAAGTGTGGACGGTGGAATCCAACGGTGGAGCAAGTTAAGCTTCTGACGGATCTGTTCAAGGCGGGGCTACGAACACCGAGCACCGACCAGATTCAGAAGATCTCTATGGAGCTGAGTTTCTACGGTAAGATCGAGAGCAAGAACGTGTTTTATTGGTTCCAAAACCATAAAGCTAGGGAAAGACAAAAGCGTCGTAAAATATCCACCGTTGATTTTGATCATCGTCAAGACACAAATCTCTCTCTTCCTCAACGACACAACACACGTCATCATCAACCACCACCTAAAGGTTAACAAAGAGAATTTTTATTGTATTTGTCACATGTTACATATTATATACATGTACGTATGCTAACATGTGTAATTTTTTCTCTTTCTTTTAGATACTTTCGAAGCGTGTGAAAAAGAGGAGAAGGTGATAGAGACGTTGCAACTCTTCCCATTGTCGAATGTTGAAAGAGCGAGAGCAAATATTAATGTTGCGAGCCACAACGAATACATACGAGAGCAGGTGAATACGACTGTGTTTTCCACGTACTCATCGTGTGGAGCTGAGATGGAACTTCCGCCGTTGGATCTTCGTTTGAGCTTTTTATGAATGCGTTTTATAATTAATAGTGGTCAACTAGATGCGAATAAACAAACAAAGACACGAGACACAGTATTCGGAGTTATATGTCAAGAACCCGATCAGACGATGTGGTCGGTGTCATAAGAATATTAATTCATAAAATATCAAAATTTTCTCTGTATTAGGTTGGTGTAAGACTTTAGGACTTGTAGTGAGCTTATGAACCCTAGCTACCATGCGATTGGGATGAGGAAACTAGTACTTGTAACAACATTGACCCTACTTATACTAGTAGTTTGAGTTCAGTGATTAATAATGTTACTGTTCTTTGCTGTTACATGCTTTTTCTTGATATATTCCTGATTACACATGTCTCATTGCCATGTTTAGTGGTCTTCCCTTGAGTCTTTAAGTTGGTAACATCTGCCATATTTCAGTTTTATCAAAATTCACATGAAAATAAAAAAATACAAGAGAATGTTATAACATATCAAAACTATATTGCAAATTTGAAATAGGTTAAAAATACCCTAATATTTAGTTATATTGATATGAGAATCTTTGTTGTGGTGTGGTTCTCAATTTAATAATTGGGCTTTTAAAACACACAAACATTGCTTAGATTATTACGATTCAGTTAATGGGCTTTCACAAGATATAAGCCCATTATTGTTTTACAAGCCCAATCCAGAAAAGAATAAAAAAGACTGATCAGTTAGTAGTAAACTCAAGAGGGGTTTTCCTGGAGAAGAAGCAAACTTTGAAGCTCCGTCGCGAAAAAAAAAACAAATTCACTCACTATTTGTTAAATCCTTCGCCGGAGAGAGTCGGATTACTAAGTAAGAAAGCAATGGATGTGATAAAGACGCAACAGATATCAGCAAGGACCATCGAGAAAGTAGTCGTTCATCCACTCGTCTTGCTCAGTATCGTCGACCACTACAACCGCGTCGCTAAGGACTCGCGCAAGCGCGTCGTCGGCGTTCTCCTCGGTAGCAGCTCTCGTGGTATCGTTGACGTCACCAACAGCTACGCAGGTGCTTGCTCACTTTCTCTCACCGATCTAACCTCAGATCTTAGATTCGTAATTTGGATTCTAACGAGATGTATTGATAGCTGCAATTTAGGGTTTTTTTATTTGTTTTGTAAAGTTGAACTCTTTTTAGCTGATTTTGTTGGAGATTCTTATCTTTAGACAAGTAACCTCTTTAATAGATAGTGATTGCTTATGATTTGTAGTGCCGTTTGAGGAGGATGACAAAGACCCAAGTATCTGGTTTCTTGATCACAACTACCATGAGTCAATGTTCCACATGTTCAAGAGAATCAATGGTACTTACTTCTCAGAAAAGCTCAAGCTTAGACTATGTTTGAAGATGTATGAACCATATTTTTAACAGAAAAGTTATCTGTTTTTCAGCCAAGGAGCATGTTGTAGGTTGGTACAGCACTGGCCCTAAACTTCGAGAGAATGATTTGGATGTTCATGCTTTGTTCAGTGGGTTAGTTTCCAGCTTATTCATTCAGATTTATTGGCTCCTTACATCTTTTTGTAGTTTTATGTTTGATTCTAAGTTAAGAATCTTCGTTTTTGCTTCTGGTGATTGCAGCTATGTTCCAAATCCAGTGTTGGTCATTATTGATGTCCAGCCTAAAGAACTTGGAATCCCCACTAAAGCTTACTATGCAGTTGAGGAGGTCAAGGAGGTAAAGTACATATGCTCCCTAATTTCTTTTTCCATTTTGTACAGTTGTATTAAGTAAATATGTTATTGTCTTTTCAGAATGCTACTCAGAAAAGCCAGAAAGTCTTCGTTCATGTGTCTACAGAAATAGCTGCTCATGAAGTCGAGGAGATTGGTATGTCCAAAAGGATAAAAGCCAGTCTTTTGTGAATGTATTTGAGCATGGTCTTCTGACACGTGCTTGGTTTATTCTCGTTTTCCAATAGGTGTGGAACATTTGCTGAGGGATGTGAAAGACACAACTATCAGTACCCTGGCGACTGAGGTTTTTGTCTTTCTTTACAATACCTTCTAAATTTTCATTATCATCCTTTTAAATGTCTACTGAAATCATGGCTGGTACCTTGGGGAATTCATATCGTAGTTCTTGCAGAGTTATTATGTGAACATAGTAGTTACGGCGCAAGGGCTGAGATAATGTGTATTGTATTTTTGCTCCAGGTCACTGCCAAACTTACGGCTTTGAAGGGGCTAGACGCACGTCTTAGGGAGATCAGGAGTTACCTTGACCTTGTAATTGAAGGAAAGCTTCCACTAAATCATGAGATTTTGTACCATCTGCAGGTTAGAACTTGCATATTGTTCATTTAGTGTTCTGATTCTACAAATTATGGTTATAATCTTCTGGACATTTTCCAAATCTATGTGATCTTTGCAGTTTTATAGTTACCGTGTCTGGTATTATGGATTCTATCTAATGAAATTTTCCTCTTAAAATCTGAAGGATGTTTTCAACTTGCTTCCAAACCTGAATGTGAACGAGTTGGTCAAGGCCTTCTCAGGTTAGTTTTCAATTGTTATTATCTTTGTGGTGCTTTCGTGAAGCATTGGTAGTCTTACTGGATTTATTATGTGCAGTGAAAACAAATGACATGATGCTCGTTATCTATCTATCGTCCCTCATCCGGAGTGTAATAGCGCTCCACAACTTGATCAACAACAAGGTTTAGATCGTAACTCTCTCTTAGGTTCTTAGCACATCACACTAGAACAAGAGGCCAACTGAATAAGGTTTCTCTTTGCATATCTATTTTTGTAATGTAACGTATATTTGGGATGGCTATGTTTCAGTTGCTGAACAAGGAACATGAAAAGGAAGAGGACTCAAAACCGGTGCCCATACCCATCACCAGCTAAACGGCGCTGATCAAATTGTGATTTACTTAGTCATCATTGTCCCCAGCAATGAAGGCGGCTGTTGTGTGTTGTCTCTCCCAGAAGAACAAATGGGGTGGTACGGACTGGTTTACTTTGATATCGTGTCTCTTTCCCAGTGTTTAGTTTCCTCATTTGTTCTGATTTTCAGAGTGTGTCAAGGAGTCTTTTTCTTTATTTTATCTTTCAAGTTGTTTAGGGTTCAAGATGATACAGTGTTTCAACGTTAATGTGTCGAAATCTCCAACCAAAAGAACATTACTATCCTATATTGATACCATCTATCTATTAGGATAATTTGACACTTAGCCTATTGTTCAAACTCTTAAAAGGCCTATAAAGAGAGCCCCATGAATAAAATCTCTCTTACTCTCTCATTAGACGACTTGGTAAAGCCCTTTGATCTACTAGGAGAAGTGGAGATGAACAGAAGAGATAGGTTGGTGCCAATCATATTGGCTAGGCTTGTGATCCACATAATTTCTTCTTCTGTTTACTAACTAATTCATGGGGTTTTTATTGGCTAGTTCTCTGAATGGAGTTACTAAATATGGGAGATGCCTTAAGATTGCTGTCTTGAAAAATTACAACTCATATAGATTTTAAGCTTGTGAGGGGTGATGATTGTCTACTAACTGATTCTGCAAAGTTGCGGTAAAACTGATGGAACATCCGTTCCAAATGTTAAAAAGTGTGAGACTGTTTCAGCCATGGTCTGGAAAGTTAAAATTCTTGAGAATATCCTCTTTTATTCTCAAATGCCTTCACTAGAAAACTAAATTGACCTTATCAATATTTCTTCTCTTTATTTTCCACAAAAATAAGCATTATATAATATTATTTGTCCTCTGATATAAAACTGGAAAAATATTTCATAGTATTTTATTCTAGCTTCTCACTACAACTAACTTAAAACAAAATATCCCACTTGTGTTAAAATGCTATATCTAATTAAGGACACCCTTAATAACATTTATAATCCTTAACAATTTTGAGGGAGCAAAGGGTTGGTGTAGTGTATAATAGGTGAAAAAAGAATGTGATTCTTTGTGCCGAAAGTGGAATGCAGACTCAGCTTCAAATTATATACCCTTAACGACTTAGTGGTCAGCTTTGCCACTCAGATACACACATAACAATATATATGTCTTCAAAATAAATACAAGATTATAAAAGTATTAATATACAACCTGAACAAAATTAAATGTTTGATAAAGCTTAATGTATATTACGCTTCATGAAGAAAATAGGGACCTAGAATACTAGAGAGACAAACAAAATCTAAATCTCTTTGGTGAAACTATCACAATGTTTGATTTAATTTTTGAATAGTGAGTTAAGAGTTTTCAAAGAAAACGACTGACCGTTAAAGTTGCAAGTTAAGGCATAAATAAACCAATAGGTCCTTTTCACCATTAGTTATCGTTTTGGCAAAAAGACATATGGTTGTACTAGCTAATCTATATTTATTCCATATTTTGATAAACACAAAACATGCATATATCCACATAGTCACATTCATCTAATCATGTAACATAAACGTTTTAAGTTCAAACATAAAACATAACTGGTAGGGATTTTCGTCACAATTACAATTTTCAGAATCCAACCTATTATCCCTGAGTTTCAGGATCTTGCGAGACCGTAAGCTCCATCGCCATAAATATTTGTTCCCGTGAACTTAAAAGCAGGTTCGTAGGGAGACAAGACTGAGGAAAGATTCTGACCTAGAAACATCACTCCCTCCTCTGCATTATCCCTGTCGGTGAACCCTAGTTTTGACTCATCTGGTTGTTGAATGAAGCGGTCATGATCAGAAGATGGACAGTTGAGATTGTTGTTGAGAAGATTGACAGTGGTGATGTCGTGAATGCTAGGTCTGCGTTTGTCTTTAGCACCAGAGAGCTGTCTCTGATAGTATTTTTGAGCATGGCTTGCGACCTGAGTAGGCGTTTTCGATCCCACAAAGTTCCTTGATATGTTTCTCCAATCTCCTTTTCCATACTTGAGAAGGCCTAACAAGAATCGTCTGCACATAACAACGAGAAAAAGAGAACAAAATCATCGACAAACCGAGAAAACAGAGGACTAACTTGCGAGTCAAGAAACTAAAAACTATGACTTGTGTATCAAGAAATGAGAGATTCTTCACCTATGTTCTTCCTCTGTCCACGGAACTCCTTTCCTGCGATCTTGATCAAACCCTCTAGCTCCTCCATTAGGACGTTTACGATACAAATCATGGGGACTCACTAGCTGATCGAATCCAGCTGAGGGGTAACCAGGGATGGGGATAAGCCCTGCTTCGATATCAAAGAGGTCTTCTTCGAGCTTAGAGTATTGTTTCATGACATCATAGATGGTTTTACCAGGGATCATGGCAGCAACGTTGAACCAACGGTCAGGAGTGTCATCAGGGTATATAGCGAGGGCTCTCTCGAACTTCTTGTTCTCTTCTTTAGTCCAGCTAGAGCTTTGCAAACACATCATCTCTTGAACAACGAAGCGGTGGTCAGAAGTGGGCACGTGAGAGAGTAGTGGATGCAGAGTCTCCATATGTTTAATATTATTAGTCTCCTTTGATATGTGCGGGTTTAGTTGAAAGACTGAACGTTATTTTTATAGGATTCTAATGATAAATAGGAATCAAGAAGAGGAAAAAGAGAGGAAATAACGAATAGTATATAGTGGTGGAATCAAAGAATCAGATTTGGTGAGAAATTTTGAGCACAAATTGAAGAATCTAGTAAAGAGAGAAGACTTAAAATTTTGAAGAATCCTTGAGAATCTGCAAAAGTGGGTCGTCAAAGGAAGACAAAGAAGGCAAACACAGTTGCTAGAGAGAGAGATGTGGTGAAGCAAAGGGCAAGAAGAAGAAGGTTTTTGTGGTATGTATTATAAAGATAGAAAAAGAGAGATAGTGTGTGCGTAAAGTTGTAGCCAATGGAACCACTCCACTCTCCTACTTGGCTTCATTTTAATCTGAGAGGATTATAATTAATGACCTATAATTAAATCTAACAATATATCTATTTAAGTGATTCCATATCATTCCAAACGTTTGATAACCACTAGAAGTCACCGTTTTTGTTAGGTCTTTCTTTTCTTCTCCTAATATGACAATTACTTAAAGTATTTAATTCTTTAAACTTATTATAGCTTGCATGCATAATAGACACGTTTTTAGTCTAGGATCATCGTGTTACTTCTCTTAAGGCTAAGCTACAGAAAAAAATCTAACAATACAAAAGAAGGTTTAAATAGCGTGGTTGCTACAAACTTCTTGTTAGATATGTATTGGTTAATTAAAGGTTTTATTCGAGATAACATCTACGTCACAGCTTGACATCACTTCATTCTTTTTTATTGCCAAAACGTCACTTTTTTTCTTTCTCTTTTCTTTTTCTTACGTAATACTTTTAAAACTGAGAGAACTTTAATTTTATAAGAAATTTCTCATAAGCCGCCGATGGCCATTGAAACAAAAGTTCTGAGCAAAGATTAGGAAAAAAAAGTTTAAAAGGAAAAGTAGAAATAAAATGACTAGTATGAACCTAATGTGTAATTTAGGTACTAATGCGAATATTACATTTAACAAGCGCCTGTAACTCAGTTGCTACAGCATACTAATGCCAATATTACAATGAACAAGCGCCTGTAGCTCAATGGATAGAGCGTCTGTTTCCTAAGCAGAAGGCCGTAGGTTCGACCCCTACCTGGCGCGCTTATATATTTTTACACATACAACGTGATTTCTTACTTTTTTTAATATAGAACAAACACTAAAAAAATGTGGGTCTGCCCCTAAACCTAAAAGGCCTTTTTATTAATTATTGAGATGCGACTAATCCTTTTTTTTGGCCCACTTTGGTATAGTTTTTGTCGTGACTCGCTTTATTTTTACTTTTTGATTCAAAAGATACTAATAATCAACTCTCTCAAAAAGCCACTTTCACGTCATTCACACACTGCACTTGTCGGTGGCTCTCCCTTCCTTCATTTGAGTCCCTCCTGTCATGTAAATGAACCATTTTTCTGCCAATCATCTTCCAAGCGCTCTGCCTCCTCTCTGCTCTGCTCTCTCCTAAGGTCTATATTGAAAATTATTATATTTGTAATGCTGTGTTCTACTAATGAGAAAGCACATTCTAAGTTTTAGATATTTTTATAAGAAGTGGAGTTTGACTATAATCTAGATTTAATATACAAAATACTATGTCAACTATATGTTATTGAGTAATATTATAGTATGGTTAAAGTTTTTCTTTGTTATAACCTTCAAAGAAATATATTAACTTAGTATTTGCAATTCAAGTTGGTTCCATCTTCCAAAAGGGTCCAACATGATACTTCCAAGTGACTTTTTCTCTATAGATTCAATCAAATGTAACAAATGAAATATAGTTTTGGATATAAACCAGACATAAATAGAGGTTTTTAAAGTACTTGAAGATTAGAGGAACCTAAGTTGTAGTATTAGAAAGCGCTGCAGATTGAAGTCTCTGCAACCATGCAATTTTCAAACTAGGCTTCTTCAGCTCTAAGAAGATCTCTCTATACTCTCTTTTCAGAAACTGATCCAAAGCAAACATGTAGAGATCACTCCCTTCTTCCACCTCTTTCATCGCATTAAGGCTTTCAATGCATTCTCCAATACAGTACATCCTTTTTGCTGATTCTATCTCAACGCATACTGGACTCTCTTGCAACATACCCCCACTCGTTAACTTCACAACATCCAACCTTTTAGCCGGTTTCTCGTTGTAATCTGCTTCATCTTCTTGAAACTGTGGTGACTCGGAACGATCACGGAGGAGAAGCTTCTTCCGAGAGGGAGGAGTGTATGTCTCTCCTGGTTCTATAACTCCACTGAAGATGATGGAGAGTTTATCAGCATGAGGAACTTCCTTGTGACGGAACTGTCCTGCTCTTGGATTCTCCTGTGAATAAAACACAAAGATGAAAAGATCAGTTTCTTAAATTGAAAACTCCAATACGACAAAGACATACTCGAATATAGTTTCTCCACTCCTCTTCTGTTGCACCGAAACTACCACTTTCTGGATCCCATTTCATGGTATCATCTCCAACGAGCTGACACCAGATCTTCCAAGCTTTCCTAGTACAATCCCAATGGTTTTTCAACTGCCCTCTTGTATAACCAAGTCCTGTTCTTTCATTAATCGCCTCGAAAATAGTCTTCCACCCTTCCTTGTTAAAATGCGTGTCAGGTCTGTTTCCTTTCAAAGTCTCTTGCACCAACAGATCAAGAAACAGCTCGTGTGTAGATGGAGACCAATACCCTTTCGTCTGAGGATTAGAAGAGCTACACATGCTTCGACTATCTTCTTCATCTTCTTCTTCTTTAACTCCATGACCACTTCTTCTCCTCTTCCTTACTCCCAAGACTTCATCATCATCCCTAACCTCTACATTATTATTACTACCCGCAAAGAGAATCTCTAGCTTCTCTAGATCTTGTGGTACACTCAACCTATACTGCCCTGCATCAGGATTCTCCTGTAACAAAAAACCAATCATCAACACCAAAAACATTCTCACAAAAAAGCTAACAAAAGACTAACCTGTAAATAGTAAACCCATTCTTCATCACTCGCACCAAAAGTATTACTCTCGGGATCCCAACTCATGTAATCAGTTTGAACAAGCCTACACCATATCTTCCACTGTCTGCTCATTGTATCCCAATGATTCTTAAGCTGCATCCTATCGTACATGACACCTGTCTGCTCCTGAAACGAACTTAATATATTCCTCCAACCTTCTTTAGAAAAATGTGTGCCTGGTTTGTTCCCTAACATAGTCTGCTCCACGCATAGATCTAGAAACACTCTGTGGTACTCTGCCTCCCACACAGCTTTTGCCCTCATTTTTTTCTTCTCAAACTCCTAACAATCAAAAACGACTAAATTACATAAAGTATTACACTTTCTTACACCCGTTATAAGTGGTGAAGGCTTCTTAATCCTCGTTTCAACAATAGAGCAAAGAAAGGCAATAAAAATCAAAACTTTAGGATTACATAACCGTTATAGTTATTTAACACAATCATATAAACGCAGACGCAATTACATGAAAACGTGTTTTTAGAAGGAACAATGTGATTTTGTTACTCTAGATTTCCCCCAATTATCAAATGCGAAGCTAAAGGGGATGAGCATGAAACCCTAAATTCGAGTAACTGAAGAAAATTGAAGAATTACGATAACGGTTAGGACGAAACAGGCGGTGATTTGGACGCGACAGAAACAGAAACAGAAACGCAAAACGTTACCGGCAATCGGACAGAAAACGCGATAGCGATTGAGTGGTCGCACTGTGGTCGGGTGAGGCTGAAGAAGCCGATCGCGATATTGTCTCGCTTTCTCTGTATTTTTGCGTTTGCTCCGCGATATACGGACTTATGAGGTTTTTTTAGGTATATGGGCTGGGCCTAATTTTATGGGTTATGTAAGCTATGAATGATTCAATAATTAAACCGGTTCTTGCCTAGTATGGGCTGGGCCGCATTATATGGGCCATATAAGCTATAGATCAATTAGTTAAACCGGTTCTTGCCTGATTCTTTATCTGGTTAACTTATTACTGGTTTGTTTGGGTTTGAGGATTTGATCCGGTTTCAATACAGTCTTAATGGGTTAGGTTAGGTTCTATATGGGCTGAGCTGGGTCCAGTGCTGATTTTTTTTGTAGAGTTGATAGTTTGTTAATAAATAGAGCACTATAATAAATTAATTGATGTACGAAGAGCTTTTAAAACTCGTATCTAGTCTAAATTCTAAACTAATGAGCTAATTATATAAATGTTTTTTTAAAAGTCGAAAAGAATATGATGGTGATTATTGTTCCAATCATATAATTAGGTGGCAGAAGTATATATTATCTGTGGGGGAGGATGACCATGACAATTACCAAAATTTATTAGCAATAAGCTTTGCTTTAAATGGTGCCGACCAGATAATAAATAACATTTGCTTTAAATGGCCGTAACGTATAAATACAAATAATGGAAATAGGTCCAAAAGATATCATAAAAAAGTGTAATTAGAAATAATGGTGCAGCAAGCAAGGACGCAATAGCTAGCTCCAGCTCCCAAATGCTCTCACTAGGGACAGAACCGGTGAGAATTTATTGGCTTCATGTGATGCAAACGCTGCGGGTGATTGACGTGAAACGGTAAAAGTTACTACTATAACATAGCATCGCCTAAATGAAGTATAGTAAAGCATAGAGATGTTATTTATAAGCTTGATAGAAGAAGAAATAAAATGATCTATTTCAATTAGAAGAATTTAAAACCTCACAAGAAAGAAAAACCCTGAAAAGATGTCAAATCATTATCAGAATGACAAGGAAATCAAGTAAAGCTAAATGCTTTTAAAATATACTATAGTTTTGGTGTACTAAACAAATATTTAGCAAAAACAAAAACCATAAAGGACATAAATTAGTAGAAATGATTAGTTTTAGGTATATGTACATTAAAGATATGATATCACAAGAGACGATGTTTAGAATGGTAGGACAGGAAAACAAGATCAAAGAAAGTATTGTGTTAAAGATGTTAAAGCACTGGTTGCAAATGAGAATTGGTCGATGCAGGTGTACACAGGGCTACAAACATGAATGCAATATCAAATAACAATTATGCAACCGATCAAATAAGTTAAAATCCGTCAGAAGTTTGTGTTCACAGCTGATAGTGTTGGGTACACATAAAACTAGAAATCTTAACTTCAAAAGCTATATATAATGCTATATACCAATAAGGCAAATAATACATGAATTTTACAAATAAAATGAGGAAAGATATATAACTAGAAAGTGTAACTGAAAAGCTGAGATTTTACAAGAGTCTGTGGAGGTATGAACGATTAAAATGAGATTGCACTCTAAAGCATTTTAGTGCATGGTGAAAAAACAAAATACACATGACTAGGATATTACCAATTCGTTTCACAAAGGTCTGTCTGACACATCAATTAGAAGTTTAGTAAAGCTAAGAAGATATCACACTTGACAACCATGTTTATATATGCTAAGCTAAAATATTATGTCATTTTGAGAAGCTTTGGAGTGGAGAGTAGTGCTTGGTATAATTCGGTGTCTTTGAAAGTAGCAAGTCTTTAGTTTCAAAGATTACAGCAATTCGTTTCACAAAGGTCTGATCACATCGATTATAAGTTCAGTAAAAGTTAAGAAGATATCAAAACCATGTTTATAAATGTTAGCTAAAATATTATGTCATTGTCGGAAGCTTTGGAGTGGAGAGTAGTGCTTGCTATAATTCGGTGTCTTTGGAAGTAGCAAGTCTTTAGTTTCAAGAGTACTCTCCGATCGAGACATGCATTGATTATAGTAGCGACGCTTATCCGCTTGGTGTTATCATTTTATTTGTTTTGATTTTTGAATCAGAACAAAATAAGTTATACATAATCTTATGCAGATATTTCATGAAATAATACATTTGAAACTGTTCAACTTTTCTATACGCCTGTAAACATATTTATGTATGTTGAAAAGTAGCTAACTAAAAACACAGAGATAAAAACACATGCAGTCACTGCAATTGCACTGCATGAAATCAACAACACTAGTTACTACTACTAGGCCTATAATGAATTAAATATCATCATTGTCACTATTAAACTTCTTAAATTCAATTAATGTGTTGAAAGATAAAAGAAGGAGTCATGTTTTTAATGCAATCCTCTTTGTCTTTATTCACTTTGTTTTCTTTCCCTTTTAAAAACCTCTCTCTCCTTCTCTATCTCACACTCACAAAAGTGTCCTCCCTTATTTTCAGGCACTTAAAAAAATTAAAATCAAAAATCCATTTTTAAAGTCGAAAGAAAGAAAGACAGTCTCTTCCAACCAGAAGCACTTAACCCATGTCTTCTCCTTCCTCGTTACTTCTTGTTTCTCTTATCTCTCTCTCCCTCAACGCCTCACTCGCAGACAATGATCGTTACAACACCACGGCGGTCGTGATAATGAACCCCACCACACCGCCGCCTCTTCCGCCGCCCTCTCCACTTCAACGTCACAACATCACTTCCTCATTCATGCCCGGAATCGCCGTAGTCATCGCCGTCCTCACCGCCGTATTCTCCCTCACGTTCTTACTCCTCCTCTACGTCAAACACTGCAAACGACGAAACGGCAGCGTTTACGTCAACCACACGCAGCGTCTCGCAACGTCACGTTACGGAGGAGGAGGATATAGTGGGAGAAAAAACTCCGGTATAGACCGGTCTGTGATCGAATCTCTACCGGTTTTCCGGTTTGGTGCATTGAGTGGTCACAAAGAAGGGTTAGAGTGCGCCGTGTGCTTGGCCCGGTTCGAACCGACGGAAGTCTTGAGGTTGTTGCCGAAATGCAAACACGCTTTCCACGTAGAGTGTGTTGACACGTGGCTAGACGCGCACTCCACTTGCCCGCTTTGTCGTTACCGGGTCGACCCGGAAGATATATTATTGATCAGTGATTGTAACTCCTGGTTCGAGCTCCGTTTATCTAACCGTCAAGAAGAATCTAATAATAACAACAATAATAATAATAATAATTCCGGTTCGACCCGGTTTGATTTCGTGAGTCGTATCTCCGGTCGACATTCGTCAGCTGGAGAACGAGCGAGTCGCCTCCGCAACGAAATTAAAACGTCTTCTTCGTTTAGGAGATCGCTCGATAGCTCTCTGAGGAAAAACAACGACGGAGACGGCGAGGAGAAGACTGATTCCGTCGCCTCCGTCGGATGTTTCGATCGAGGTCAACAGAGGAAAGACGGATTGTTGCTGCTTAATTCGAATCGGGAGAGCTTCGAGGCGAGGTTCGAGCACCGGATAATAATCTCCGGCGGGAATCGCGATCAGAGGTGGAGCGAGGTGAGGCCGTCGGATCTTCTCTACCTGCGATCGGAGATGATTCTGAGCGATTGCCGGAAGTTAGCTGCGGCGGAGGATGGGAGAGAGGTGATTGGTGGGAGGAGTGTGTCGGAGTTAACGAGCATTGATAGACGGAGGAGGTGGGGAGGAGAGCCGAGACAGCGACAAGCCACGGCGGTGATTTCGAGATGGCTCGCTTGGTCCCACCGTCCCTCCGCTTCCAGCGCTGTTTAAAAAATATTATTGCTTTTTAGGTCCTTTTAGTTTTGGTTTATAGCATTTTTGGCCGGGTTAGTTATTGTTTGATGACATTTTGGCCTGAAGATTGATTTACTCTTTTAGCTTTAGAGGAGGCAAGCCAACAATGGCAGGTAGGGAGGAATTATTAAAAAAAAAAAAAATCTGATTTTTGGAGTTTAAGTATTATTGATGCACGAGTGCAAGCAAACACAAATCTTTTTTTTATTTGTATTTTAATTTTGTGGAAAATTATAAGGAAAGGGAAAGGTTTGAGTTTTAAATTAATGTCTTGGTGTAATAAATGGCGAGTATTGGGGATCTGATAGCTGAGTTTATTTAATTTGCATAAGTGTCTCTTCTTGTCTTTTTTATACATTTGAGAGTTTGAAAGTGATAACACTGAAACGTTAAGTGCTTGCTTAGCTTTTTGTAAATGAGTTTATTACTGTTAAGATAGAATAATCAGTTATGTTGATATTAACTTTTTTGGCTAACTTTTGAATATAATAATGGTAATACGAACTCTACTCTTTTAGCCTTGTAGCATCAAAAAGTATTGAGAAGTCCTTTTATTATAGTTTTGGGTCCTCAAAAGAAGGTTCCAAATCAAATTTGACATAAGACAGTGCTCTGACACAACTCATGATCCGTCCGCATACAGCTATGATAGTGTGTATATGCAATATACGTAGTTGTTTATTTAATAATTTAATCCCATTAAACATTCATACAAATTTAAATATTTATTTCCAAGTAACACTAGTCGTGTCTTTTTGTAACTACAACCAAGAAATGTCCAATTCAAATTTAATTCATGATTTTTGTAGAGAGCACATCTTGTTCTATGAGATTTTGGAAGACGCGATTTCAGTTACTCTTTTACATGTATTTTTACCTTTTCCATATGGTGGATCCCCTATATATTAATCCTGAAGCATTCATAAATGCACAACCTTGGAGAGCATGCTTACGTGTCAAGTTCATAGAGCTCCTCAGCCTTAATTTTTTAATGGATCAACTTTGCTAGAAATGAAATAATGTAACATTTAATTTCTTACATTTAGGACTATAATATATAGATATTTTTAAGGGACCAACTCTGCTAGGTATAAAACAATATATTTTCTTTCCTTAATTAAAAGCTACGGAATTACCTTATATGATTAACATATATATGTATTTAATGATTATGAATAATACATATTTTTGTGTACTCTCTTTTTTTTTTAAATTTTAAAATAAATTAAACAATCACATTAAATATATAATTTTTTAAAAAAAAAAATTCTCATAGGTTATATTTTTAATTTTTTAAAACGACCATAAATAACTAAAAATAGCAAAATCCCACCTTGAAAATTTTATATCAATGGTTTAACTTTTTTTTTCCAAACAAGATAGAAATTATCATAAATCGTACGAATATGAAATATCATTAGTAGATGTTCATATTATAAATATGTTAATTTAAAAATTTTAGTGAAAAGGTTTGAGGTTAGTAGATACAAATTATAGTATTCGAAGATTTTTGTAGTTTGTTTTATTTGCTTTTTTAATATATTTTAGTTTGTTTAGATAATTTAACTAATTTTAAATTAGATTTATTAATAATTTAAATATTTTGAATTTTTTGTCAACTTTTAATGTTTAAAAAATATTTTTTGGGATGATTTTAGATATTGGTTACAATCCAATCAAAACTGAATTGAGAAGACCAAATCGAATCCAATCCGATAATTAGTAAAATTCAAATAGGATTTATGAGAATAATACCAAAATCTTAGAATACGTCTCAATCAAACCAAAACCGACGAAGTCTCAAAAGGTCTAGACCTATGATGATTTAAGGTACCAACATTTGTATTCATAATTTTATAATCGATAAATATTGTAGTATTGCAAAACGTTAAAAACCATTTAATGAATAAATATCAATATAAAATTTTCACCCCGCGCATGCGCGCGGGCTATCATCTAGTCTTTTGTTATTGTGAAAGCAAAGTTGTCATACTTTATAACGTGCAAGTAGAAAACTCATTACCATATTGAAGTATATTGCAGATCATTTACTCCCAGATTCATGTTTTGGTTGATACAACTAATTGGGTATACAATTAAAAGGACTTTACTATATTTCTTTGACGACTCTGATTATCTTGCCATGACTTTACAACTCACCATTTCCAAGTTCCAACATTCTCAAAAATTATTTTATTATTCATTTTTTGTGATCTTTCGACAGCTGATCTTGTTCCTTGTTAGCAACAACCACTTGTGTTGCCCACTCCCATATTAACTAGATGCTGAAAATCCGATTGTAGTAGCATCACAAGTAGTACAGGCAAAAATAAAGTAGAACGAGTTTGGTTTATACATTTAGAGTCATCAGTGTACCTTGAATGAATGATGAATCAAACTCATAAAAAGTAAGTAAATTATTGCGGGTTAATTTGTTGTATTTGACAGATATCAATTGTATTATTGTATCTTTTCTTATTTCGTCAACATATTGTCCATTGGATTTTAACTTACAGTTATAGATCCTATGTGACATATAAGTTTAATGGTATTGTTTTTCAAACAAAATCAAATAAAACAAAACAAGTAGTGGCTTAGAATTCTTTTTAAAAGATCAAGAAAATACAATACAAACTTTATTAAATTCTTTGCATGAATTCCATAAAAGAGGAAAATAAACCATATAGAGGCAAACGCATATGTCACATGAGACTCTTGGTTAAATATTATCCTAAACAGTACATTTGCATCACGAGCTACCCGTAAATAATATGTGTTGTCATTTGCATTTTAAATTGTTTTGTTTGGAGTTTACTATCAGAGAAATGAAAGGGTTGAATAAGTTGCCGTTTTGTTAATTACATGTCGAAAGATAAAATAATTAAAATCTCACCAGCAGGTACACATAAAGGAGAACATTCCATGTGGTCTTGGCCTGTGTAATCTCATGTATAGTCCATCTTATTATGAACCATAGAAAATGACATTTTCAAAGAATAAAACGAATTTATATTGTCTACTAGCTCTTGCCGTGATTACATCTGCAACCACGTTACTATTCTCCCCCAAATTATTGCATGCTTCTATTCTATATGCTTAAAAAACATAATGACTTCACAAACATCTATCAGAAATTCGGTGGTACAAATATTATAAGAGTGAAATCAGTGACATCAATCAGAAGACCAGTTCAAAAGGGGTGAATATATTTAATGGAACTTTTAAAACTCATTAACGCCATAGTCATACTTTACCATCTTATTAAGTAACTGTTTATGTAAATCTTATTTTATTTAGTTTTTTAGTCTGGTGATGAACGGTTTGCAGTTACAAATATGACTCTGGTTTCGACTTGTACTAACCATGATATGATTTAGGCCCCATTGTGTGGATACAAACACAGACTAATACCAAACCTAGGGAGAATTAAAACCGAAAATCCGAACCCATCAAATAAATAAAAATAAAAAAACAAGAGTTTTCTTTATACCATCATCCTTTCCTAGGTGGACTGAAGAAGAGTGGAATTCCATGATGATATGAGCATGGCAAATATTGGGAAAGAAGGAAATAATTTCAAAAAGGCTACAAAATCCAAAATTGCTGACAAATCAGTACCTAAGAAAAATATGGCCCACAAAATGAATCTTTGAAATTGGTGCTGCAGAGTCACTAGATATGTTAAGATCTAGCATAATCAGTTACATCTTCAGTATCTTTACTTGATCAGAATATCAAACAAATATTTGTGTTGTAATTTATTTATAAAATATGTCACTAGATTATCAAAGAAATGAATTTAATCCAAGCATTTTGATCAAAAGAAAAAATAATATCGGGGTAAAGTGATACTATTGGTTAATAGTATGGGTGTACTCAGGATAAAAGCATAGATACGTCGTGTGTGTACATTCTCGTCATAATAATCATCATCCTATACTGCAAAAGAGACCTCCCTTTTTGAAGCTCTTTTTTTTTTTTCTCTATTCCTTTTCACATTCAGTTTCACTCTCGATGAAAAAGCCACTCGAGTGCCTGAAAGAGTTTATAGAACTCAACTGTCACAATCTACAAGCTCCCAACTCTTTTTTTTTTTTTGTCTGAATTGCAAATAGTATTATATAATTCAACATCTCTTTCTTTTTTCGTTCCTCTTCATTAATCTCTCTCCAACCCCATTTGGCTTTTTCCACTCTCTCATGAATAGGATTACTCTCGCTTTTTTACCTGTCCAGAGTTATTGTCACATTACAAGTTTTGGTTGGGGGGCCTCTCTACGTGGACTATTCTCCATCACATTCAATCTTCTAATTTTGGAACTGTTGTTTTGGTTTTAGTAATCTTTTTAATGGCCAAGTAATTTAAACAGCCATGAGGTTTTTGAAGTCATAGTGAGAGTGGGCTTCACACATATTGGTCAATGATTCCTGAAAGTTATAAATAATTAATATTTTCTTTTGTGGGTTTGGCCCTACAAAGTTATGTGTGGATTGGATCATGAAAATGAGATATGCTGCAGTGAAAATGGGGATCCTACAGCTTGATATTGATAATGGCTGCCGTTTCCAGAAAAAGAAATGAAGCTGAGTGATTTGACTATACAAAGACAAAGACAAGACTGTTCTCTCATTAGTAAGAAAAATCTATCTCTCTCTCTTGTCTCCTTCTCTCTTTTAGCTCTTTCTTCTGCAACTGTAATCTCTTCCAATTCTGATTCTCTGCTCTCTCTGTCACAACAGTTACTACACAGCTCTGTGTTCTGAACAACCCAATGAACCAATCACCATGAGATAGCATCATAATGTATATATATCAAATTCTCAAAGAATGAACATTATAATAGAAGGGGAACTTTCTCTCTTATGAATAATTACTCGGTGTTGTTATAAATGTTGACATCACGAAACTAAAATGTCAAAAAAATCAAAGAAACAAAAGCTAATTCAACGTTACTCTTAGAGCAAAACAACTAGTAAATCATGCCTTGTGTTGCTTTTGCTTCTCTTGTTTCTGCTTGAAATTCCCATGCTTTTGGCCCAGCTTTCCATTAAGACAAGACTAGGGATGTGCTGTGTAAAAGATTTTTGTAACAGCAAAAGAGACTACTTGCCTGTGTGTTGATAAAAATTATAAAAACATATATATATGTAAGGATGAAGAATATGAATCTTCGGGGTGTGTTTGGTGTTCTCATTTGCTCCGTTTCTTGGCTTCGCTGTAGAGGATAACTCCACAGACAGTAAGGGAGTAACCGAGCATTCCGGTCACTGAAACAGGGTTCTTGAATATTAGAATAGAGACTACCACTGCTACTGCTCCTTTGGCGTTTCCTAGCACCTGCAACAAAACAAATCCAAAACAGGGTTTTATGAGTCTATGTCATTCTGAAACACGAGGAACATCAGGCATTATCATATACATAACAACGCAAGTCAAAGTTCAACATCAGAAGAACATGACAGGAAGCAGATAATTGCTTCTTCCTAAATGATACGCTTACTCATACTGACTTTGTTTCAAGTTCCAACCAAACATTATATTTACACCACCTTTTCTACCATAAACAAGAATGCCTATCAAGAATGTAATGAACTGTATGTTACCTGCAGAGTCAGGGCGCTAGTGTGTTTCGTGACCAAGAAATTTGTCAAGTTTACGAAATAGGCAAGCGCTGAATTGAATAGCAGATACCAAACGATTCTGAAATCATCTCTTGCAAGTGCAATTGTAATGCCTACAACATTTCTCTCCATGATAAGAGTAGCAGGCAGAAGTAACACGACAGCTATTGGAGCCATGTAGAGGAGGAGATTCATGGAGTTCAGCTTCTCCCTTCAAAATATAAATTCAAATCCTTTCAACAAAACTCTTTAACATAACTTTTGCAATCTAGAACTAAGGCCAACGCAACATTGCAGCCATATATTACCCTTCAGAGGAAAGCAAAATTCCTTGAAGCACTGATTTAAGTGCTCTCGAAGCTGTGGCTGCAATGCACATAAGGAATCCAAAAAGATGAAAGCTTGGTTCACTCTGCAGACACCCAAAAAAAAGAAGAAACATCAAACACAGATGTAAATGAGGAAGCAAACAAAACACACAGAGAAAAAAAGAGTAATATCTACACTAATCAAACTTCTATGGAGTCCCTATGAGCTGCTAAACATGGTTGATTTAAACTCTTATCTAACCAATGATACAAACCACTATCTTTAAGACAATGTAAAATATAAATGTCAGCAATGTCTGAACTGGTATCATTGATACGAGTTAAATCAACCATTTCCAGCAGCTTATAATATCTAATTGCTAGCTAGTTCCAAAACTATATCTATTTATGGAAAGATATAAATCTAATTAACCATTCTTAGCTAACTCAAACTTTATTAGTTCCTATATATATACCAATCTCTCTAAAGCATCAACCTTTACAATCCATAATCATCTCAACCTCTCTAAAGCCTCAACCTTTACAATGCATTACCATCTCAACCTCTCCAAAACCTCAAACCTTTACAATGCATAACCATCTCAACCTCTCTAAAGCCTCAACCTTTACAATGCATTACCATCTCAACCTCTCTAAAGCCTCAACCTTTACAATACATTACCATCCCAATCACTCTAAAGCCTCAACCTTTTACAATGCATTACCATCTCAACCTCTCTAAAGCCTCAACCTTTACAACACATTCAAACATCAACTAAGTAAGAGAGAGATTAAATTACCCCACTAGCAATCACAACACCAGTAACAACAGGCAAGAGAGTAAAATAAGTCAACCAAGCCTCCCTCTTAAGCGTCATCAAATACGCAAAAACCGCCGTGAAAAACGGCGTCGTGGCGCCAATCGCCTGGTTAAACGAAACGGGGAGGAACCTCAGCGAGATGTTCCCAAACACCACCGACACGCAGAAGACGAGGCTCAGCGCGGAGATCTTAAAGAACTGGACTTTGGATCGGATGGTCTGCATAGGGACCATCTTGAGCCAAGCGATGGCGACGTAGCTGAGGAGGGAGCAGGCGGTCATGTGGCACATGGTGAGGAAGATTGGGTATTTGAATCCGTAGTTGCTGAGGAGGTACTTGTTTAGGAGTAGGACTCCGATGTTTGACGAGTACCATGACGCCACGATCGCGATTGTGAAGAACCGGCCGTTCGTCGCCGCCGCCGTCATCTTCATCGATCTGGACGAGGGACAGAGGTTTTTTGACACGTGGCGTTGGAGTTTAGTTGTGATTAGAAGAAGAGGGACATGAGAAAGATGATGAAGGAGGAGGAGGAGCTGCGGAGAAAAGGTGAGATCTTTGGCTAAAGCTGCAACTGCAACAACATCACTCTCTCTCTTGTTTTTTTTTTTTGTTTTTTTTGTTTTTTTCAGTTTCATGAGTTTGGTGCGTTATTAAACTCATAATATAGATTACTCAAAAAATTTCAGTTAATTATTTTCTTGAAATTATTAAGAAGTATATTGAACTTTTTTTAAAGTCAGTTTATTTTAGGAATATTACATTAGTAATACCTTAGTAATACAAATAGTAGAATAATGCTTTAATTTAGTAGTAGAATACTACATTAGTAGAAATATTTGTATTACCTTAGTAATACTCAGATGCCTTTCTCTATTACTTTATTACACTGGTAGGAATTAGAAAGAGAAATATTTGTTATAGTATATGACAATTGTATTGGTTTAGACTTTAGACTAAATATTTGAATAATGCTTTGAATTTTTTAACCAAAATTCGGATGCAATAAAAAGATGTTAATCGGTTATAAATTATGTGCATTGGTGAATGATTCACCTATGCTTCTTTAAATGAATCCGATAAGTTATATAGTAACAATACACCTAATCCTTAACATTTTTTACCAAAAAAAAGATACACCTAATCCAGATCCATGATAGACTTGAGACTTCTAAATCTACTATTATTAAAAGGGCTTAATAAACCCCTCTAAGCACATTCACGTAGGCATAAATAATCAGCCAATCAGATAGCTTTAATTCTCCACGTCACCTCTGCTTGAGCAATATGACGATACTCTTGAGTCGTCGATCGCTTTCACTCACTTCATCTTCTCCGTTTCCCCTTCTCACAAGATCCTCTCTTTACACATCCAAAACAGAGTATCCGAAGCCTTCGCCGTCGATTTTCATCCCGGATCGACGGGGTGGTGATCGGAGAGACAGCGGTGGATGGAGACAATGTTTCGATTTTACACAGCGTGACGCTTGGAGGAACAGGGAAACAGTGTGGTGATAGGCATCCGAAGATTAGTGATGGGGTTTTGATTGGAGCAGGGAGTTGTGTGTTGGGGATTATTATGATCGGAGAGGGGGCTAAGATTGGATCGGGTCGGTGGTGCTTAAGGATGTGCCGCCGCGTACGACGGCGGTTGGAAACCCGGCGAGGTTGATTGGTGGGAAAGAGACCCAAGGTGACCCAAAAATCCCCTTGCCTTCCTTCTTCATCGTTGCCAACATAAATTTCCTCTCACCAAAAAAACTAAAACCACCCCTTCAGAATCTCATATCTAACGTAACTCCTCAACACTTTTATTCTTTAAAATCCTCTTTATTCCAGAACCCTCCATTGCCCACCAAACAAATCACGCCCTCCACATCTTCACAATCCAAAAACTACTATCCCAGCCCTGTTGAATTCCAGGAGGGTTCGTGGAGCGAGCGATTGGACATGTAATATGTTTTCTGCTTCTGTTGAGGAAGGAAAAAATGTTCTCATGCCTAACTCGTGGTATGTAAATCAAGATAGTCGAGAAAGAGTATGTTCTCTATTATGTTCGGTGTCATTTCTGTGAGACTTAAGGTTATCGATATGTCATGAAGGTGATAAAGATTTTTGTCTCCTTTTAGGTTCTTTCTGTATGTGGATGAAGACATCATGGCCACTCATGATCAGTGTGTCTTGAAGGTGAGAGGTTTTAGGGAATTCCCTGCTCTCTTCTGGTTTCACTGTTGGTAGCATGCCTTTATAAATTTTAATGATCATGCAATTGCCATCAAGTTCTTACAGACATAACCTAAAAAAAAGAATTCTTAGTGATGAAATGAAGAAGGAGATCAGATCTTTTGTTAAGTTTATTTGTATTTAGTGTGATATGGTGCCAATAGTTTCATGAATATGGGGCTTGAGCACTGTAATGTTGGCTAATTTTGCGTTTGGTCTGTGCATAATCTGCTTCTGTATGTGGAGTAGATTCTATATTCCTTTAACTGTTTGCGAATTCTCTCTCTACAGGAGTTGAATAACCAGTAGCTTCTGCCCAAAATGATTTCACAAGCAAGAAAAAAGTAAATGGAAGAAGGATCATCAGATACCGTAATTACATTCTGAAAACAAGAGACCAGAGGTGCATACAAACATCTACACATGTCTGTATATGTTGTTTCGTAAGAGAGTGCTAGACATATGTGGAAAAACCTGCAAAGCGAAGAAACTGGCATTGGATGACTCACTGATTTGGGACGAACATGCGTCTTTAAAGGACTTTGTTAATACGCAGATGAGAGAAGTGTTGTGTCTCGTGGCCGCGACTGATGTTGAATTCGGTCTGTCCTCAGTGTCGGAGGTGAGAAGGAAGCCCAAATTTGGATAGAATCTACTCCACATACTATATAAGTTCAGACCCAGACCTCTCATGAAGAATAGGCCAAGAGTTGATCAAGTTAAATCTACTGGGATTGCCTTTGGACCTGCGTATCAGGTTTGTTTTAGCTTCTCTCTTTAAGAAACTAAATTAATATAGGTTTGTTTATAAGAGTCTATCTTCCTATCCAAACTCTTTCTTAGATATTTTTGAGTTTTGGTTACACCATCTATCTATGTACGAACCTCCTTAAAATGCAGCTTCCAGCGGGGGTGGATAATGCAGAGATTGAAGAACGCATCATTCAGCACTTGGCTGCTTCAATGGGCCGTGCAAGACATGGGACAAGAAGGGAAGGCCACAGAAGCAGGTCATCAACTCAAGGTGGTCATCCACAGTTCATGATGTTCTCTCCCCCTCCTCCTTTTCCTCCTCCCATGCTTTCCTCTCCATCTCAGAGAGATGAGACTGACACAGTCACAAACCTTCGCCACAATACTGTATGGGAGGGTTCTCTTCATTCAAACATGCAGCCACCAGCTTCTTCTCATCCCCACCAGGGTTCTCCTTCGGCATCTGATTCAAATCGCAGGTCTGTACTTGAATTCTCGCCTTTTATTGTCTCTTAATTACATTCCAGCCAATATCAGCCTTCCTTTCTTTTAGCATACACAGGTCTCCTACTCCTAATCAATCTTCCCAAAGTGATCAAGATAGAGCTGGACCATCCGAACTCCAATCATTTTCAGAATCTTTGAACTCCAACAGATTTTTTTTTGTATATACGAAAGAAACTAAATAGTTAATGGAACTCTGTGGCTTGTGGTGTGCACTTCTGAAACAAAACAAAAATTGTTAATGGCTTTTGATTATGCTCAGTGAATCACATTACAACTATTTAAAATATAAAAAAATTGTTACCTCCAGTGTATCATATATACCTTAGATTTCTCCATCATTCAGTTATAATGTTATATCAAATAAGTTTCTGTAAAGATCAATTTAGGTTAGAACATTACCAGTCATGCATTTGGAGAAGGTCTTAGACATATTAAAAAAAGGTCTTAGAGCATTTCGAAACTCTATATATTGTTTTAAATAGATAATTTTATAATCAAGTATGGTTACATTTTAATGATGTTATATTCTGGAGTAAAAATAGAGTAATGAATAAAAATAAATGAACTACTCTATTATAAGAATAAGCTCATTTTTACTCGATTATAGAATAGGTCGCAATATGTTTATTATACTCTATTTTAAAATAAAATATAGAATGAGATCAGAACTGTTTAGTAATTTACTCCTCGCTATTACAACTTCATCTTAAGCTGTTAATAATTGACTTAAGAGTATAGATTAATAATGGAAGTATGTTTCTAATCTAATAAACAAACAATGTTACAAGGTTATACATATTCTACACAATACAAATGACAAACATATTTGCATGTGTGTAATGCACAAAATCTAACCAAAGTACTTTTATTCAATATTTCAGTAATTTATTGAATAATTTGTATTGGTCATCAAAATTTACATATTTAAATATATCAAAATTATTACACTTTAAGAATATATATATAAATATATATATATGAATTAAGGTTATTTACCTATTCTTCAATAATAAATTAATAATTAAATCAGATGATGTATAACCAAATATACAATACATAAAATAATATAAAAATTTAAGAATGTTAAATATAAAATATTTGAACTTAAATATAAATATTTGAACTTTAAATATAGAGTTAGACATGATACTATAAGATTAACATAAAATATAATTATTTTTACATCAAAATATATATTAAATATAAATCAAGGATATTTAAAACAAAATAATATCTTTTCAGAATATTTCATTCTAATTTGTCAATATTATATCAAAACAAATAAATAATATAATATAACACAAGTATAAAATTATTTTATTTTACAGTTGATATTTTAAGTTATATTTAAGATAAAAATATAAATTATACAGACAAATACACCGCGCGTAGCGCGGTAAAATCTCTAGTAATAGATAAAAGTAAAATTTTATCAAAAAATGCACTTCAACTAATATATAATAGTGTTTGAATATGAAAAATTGCTAAAAATTAGTTCCAAATCCGTAAAAATATTTTTATATTAAAAGAAACTAAATTTAAAACTGATTATTAAATCTAAAACTTCACAAGATAAAATAGCAAAGTTCCAAATCCTACACAGTACTTCTATCTAATTTACAGGTTGTGGGGTCAGTCTCGTGTCCTGATTTAGTTTGTTTATTAAACTACATCACCATAAGGACCCACCCACCTAAATGAAGAAGAAGTGAAAGAGAGTGAGTTTTAAAATAGGTTTCTGCCTTAAGAGAAGATGAGATTCACAGATCACTTCAAAAATCACAAAACTCCAAAAACCTCAGTGGCAAAAAACGTAATTTAGGACACTACTTTCAACAATAATGTCTCATCTCTCTCTCTCTCTCTCTCTCTTCTCTTTCGGTTTTAGTTTCAACAAGCTGTAATAATAAATAAAGAAAGCATTGATGATCTCATCTCTCAAAGTTTCATGATCTCATAAATACTCTGAACTCCTCGTAGTCTGAATCTTTAACCTCAAAAATGGAACCCGTAAGGCCACGTCTCGACACCCTTAAAGCAATCCTTGAAGAAGACAACGAGGGAGTAGGAAAAGAGCTCATCATCATCACCGACAACGGAGAGCCACGTCAGAGCAGCTCCAGTGTAGAGGAGGAAGATGAGGAGAGGAGATCCAATGCGTCATTTTGCTCGGTAGAAGTAGATCTCGAGCTTGGTATGTCTAAGAAAGATGTACATATGTCACCATATGAGAGAGATTGCAGGATTTGTCACATGACTTTGGATGCATCGAATCTTGAATCTGGTGTTCCCATTGAGCTAGGCTGTTCTTGCAAAGAGGATCTCGCTGCTGCTCATAAACACTGTGCTGAGACTTGGTTCAAAATCAAAGGAAATAAGTAAGAAACTTAACTGAATATTTCTATATTTAGATAACTTTCCTTTTGTGACTTCCACTAGAGAAAAGTATAAACTTATATTTTTATAAATTTAGGAAAGTGTAATTTTGAGGGTTTCTAGTGAATGTTGGAAAGTGTAATTTTTAAGGGTTTTAGTTATGACCACTTATAAGTGAATGTTTGATAAGTCTCAGTTATAATGTCATTTGTTTGGCATGAGAGACAAATGTTAGCTTTGTCATTGTGATGGGATTCTTTTGTTTGATTTTTTTTTGTAGAATATGTGAAGTATGCGGCTCCATTGCGGGTAATGTTGTTGTAAATGTTGAGGCAGAGACTGATGAAACTCGAAATGAAGCAAACGGTACAGTGAATCAAGCTTTGAGAACTTCTAATCCACCACTGGTGGAAGCTAGAAGCTTCTGGCAAGGTCACCGGTTCTTGAATTTCCTTTTAGCTTGTATGGTCTTTGCCTTTGTGATCTCATGGCTCTTCCACTTCAATGTTCCTTCCACATAGCACATCAGAGTGCACCATGAAAAGGAAGAATATTCAGTTTAAAAAAAAAATATCAAGAAATGGTTAAAAGCCTCTTGTGTCAATGCCTTTTTTGACAATGTTTTAAGTTTAATGAAAGTTTAGAAGAAGACCATGTAATGTGAATACTTTATTTTATGTCTTGGATAATGTATATAGAGGCTCTAGTCACTCCAAAACTTAATGCAAATGCAGTGTTGTGGAAGTCTCTTCACTCATCACTTGACATTGCATTTGCATCCCAAGAGTTTTATTGGTTTACAGATTATTAATCCACAAACCAAATATATAAGAAAAAAAATCTCCTCTGTTTTTAGATGCATATGTCTCGGTGTTGTGCAATAGATTATATCATTTATGTACAAAAAACCGAAACTATATCCATGCATTTAAGTCTCATCCAGCTCTTCAGTGACATCTGATTCATCCTCTTCTTCCACAATAGCTAAGACCTTAGATGAACAAATCCTCAAAGAAGCACTTCTAATCTTCATAGGAAGCTTCTCATTATTCGCAGCTAAACCACATTGCACTTCCTCTTCTTCTTCTGCTTCCTCATCATCATCATCCTTCTTGAGATCAGAAGGTGGTAAGAAACAGTCCATAGACAAACCCTTGATGTTAAAATCCATCTCCTCAATCTCCCAAGTCTCTTCCATACGTGTCCTCGAGTGATTATCCGAGTTCTCACCAAACCTAAACAGAGAAACAGAGCTTTTACCAGCGTGTGCCACCTGGACACCGTCGATGATCCTGTAGTCTTGGATCAGAGACTCCATTGTTGTCTCCCAGAAGATACTGTTGTCGTCTTGAGCTTTGATTCTTAGAAGGTGAGAGTCTTCGAGCTGGATTAGAAGGCCTGTTCTCTGGCTGAAACATCCCCACACTGTGTGACGTATGATCTCTACGTTGCTGCTGCTTCTTGCTTTAAGAGTTGATGGCTCGGCTTCGAGCTTGAGTATGAAACAGTCTTCGTCGTTTATCTTCTTTTCTCCCATGCATGAAGATCTTGCGAATAGATTTGCCGTTGACTTTGGATCAAGACCCTGTTTTAAAGATTTATATGTCAGAAACTTTTGTTATGATTCCATAACGTGTTAAAGAAGTAATAACAAAAAGACCTGAAACAAGTCAACGGTAAGTAATTTTTTAAAATAGATTAATGCTTTGATGACAATAAGATAAGATCTTAGGTTATAGATAATTATACTTTAGTAATGGGGAGATAATCTATTTAGTATCTAGGTTGTTGTTGTAAGTGGTGGACCATAGATGGATCCAACAACTATTGGTAACTTGGTAACCATTTCTCCACGTTGAATGAGAACGTAAGAGCAATTCAATAGGACAGAAAACACACGTTAAGTTATGGCCACATCAAATCTCAAAAGTCATAAATTTACATTGTAAAAAAACTATCTAATATTTTTGATGATTGAAAGATCTCTTTGACAAAAGTTGAAGGTAGGTTAGCTAGACCAAGAGGAAGTTTGATGATTGAAAAATCTTTTTGCCAACAATCAAGGAAGATAAAACTTGTAACAACTAGATTTATCATAAAAGTCAGGATGGAATCTAAGAAGAATGTATCATTGAACTCCAAGTGGATAAACCATATCATTCAGTGTCATAACTATGAGTGGATGCATATGCTTTATGACATTTGTCTTCTCATCAATCAAGTACAAACTAGAAATGTAGTATAACCACAAGAAAAATATCTACATCCAGTTTCTAAACAATTGATTAAAAACTTATAAGATAAATATCTACATTCAGTTTCCAAACATTTTATTAAAAACCTATAATTGCTTAGTATAAACAAAATAGATTTATTGCAATAGAAAATATATATGTGTATCAGTTTAAGTTTCAAGATATAGAACAGTTTCATCTAAACAATTATGATTCTTAAAAAAATTTAATCGGTTAATACTTTAAAAAACAATTTCTTATATTTTCTTAAGAACCGCGTCCTAAAAAAATTATGGATAATGATGCTCTTAAAAAAGTAAAAATGGATTTACCTGAAGGAAACGGCGCAGTGGTCTAGGAGGACCACGAGAGGCATGAGAAGGATGCCATGGAGTTTGTCTCCAAGCAACTTTGGCGTCACTACCGGCACTGATTTTGCAGCCAGAGACAACTAACTCAAGACACCATAACTCTATACCCTTTTGCCACAACACAAAACCTCCTACTTCTCCTCCTCCACTCTTGATACTCCTCGCCTTCACCATTTTGCTGTTTAAACTCCCTTCTCCTGTGCAGAACTCTGATGCTGTCATCCTCACTTTCCCCATCGCATACATGCTCTCAATAGCGTTCAAAGCTCGTTCTCCTCCTACCGCTGCTATGTACTGCTTTACTATGTACTGCGCCATCGACATCTCCTGTGGCACATACAAACCATTGCATTGAGATGAAACATAGACATATGTTAATATGAAAAGAAAGAAAAAAGAGAAGGAAGGTGTTGTTTTACGAGAGGTTGGTCTCTGATGTCTTTGTGGATAGGGTTCTCGTAATCATTGTGGTGGTCAGGCTGAACAGGGAGAGGGATCAAAGGAGCTCCAACGACTCCAAGAAGAAGCTGAATCTCGGCGTTACGACCACCAAAGAGTCTTGTCATGTTTGTGGCTGTTCCGGTTGATGTAGCTGTGGGTTTTGACCAGAAAGACTTCATTTGGTTCCATCCAGGTTTGGTCTTGGACGCGGAAAATAACTCCTCAGGCATGGGAACCTCGAGGACGGTCTCTAACCCGTCCTCGAGGTTGTAGTTGGGACAAAGTTTTCTCATATTTGCGAAAAAAAAAGAGAGAAAAGAGATGTTGATGGGAGGAAAAAAAAAAACAAGTCGAGTGAAGAGAAGGAGTCTGGTGAAAACTTAAAAGAGGATTTTTGAATCAGAAACGAAACATTTAGTCGTTGTCACCAACCGACCGGAACGTGGGGAGGCCTTTTGTGTTTGTCGTGTCTGCACGCTCTCTCACTCTGCTTACGTCTAATTTATATATTACACAAACTACACAAAAGACATGCTCAAGTGCAAAAAAAGCTATGACCATATCAATCTTCAATATGCTCCTTTCTCGAATATCATATTGTTTAGCTTTATTTTTCTTTTGTATTGGAAAATTATGCACAGAATTATTAATTAATTAATTAACAGATTTGTTTCTTAATTGTCCGGTTGGAAATCATACCGGAAGAGTGTATTTTCCCTTCTGTATTTTTTTGTCTGTTTAGTCAACAAGTTCATATTTCTTTCCAAGACCACTAAAGCTAAAAGAGGTATAAAACGACTAAAGACTTCACATTTATAATCTGGGAGTTACTTTTGTAGAAAATCGAATCCAAATCAAAAAACAAAATGCTATGAATCAAACCATACTAGCTTTAATTACTTGCAATAGTAAAAATGGTTTTTTTTTCAAAAAAAAAAAAGGTAAAAATGGGAGCTCTCTAACCAAAGTTTTATCTCTTTGTCAGTATCTGCAGGCCAGATAATATCTGAAACTCGATTGTTACTTGGAGTAAGTTTTATTAATTTATTTAACAATAAAAACTGATTGGCATACGTTAAGATAAAAAAAAAATTAATCAGATTTTTAATTGGCAAGTGATACTTTCTTTTGTTTTGGTATAAATGTTAAGGTGGTATAAATGTTAAGGTGATACATTGGCTTTGACAGTTTCGTGCCTAAACCGTAATCAAATAAAATAATTCCAGATTTGGAATTCATTTATCTGGACAACATTTAAATTAGAATGATAAAAAGTATTAATACAGTTTTGAATAAAAAGGAATTAATAAAGATTTTTTTTTTGTTTAAAACTCGGATGGAGCTATATCTCTTTCACTTTTGATACGTTTACGTATATTTTTCTTATTACAATTCAACATAAACCGTCGTTGAATTGAAAAAAACATGAATTTAGAGCGAGTGGCTTAACCAACCAGGATAAAGAGGTTGAGTGGCTTTCTAGAAATATTAAAGAAAAGTGAGCATTTCGTTAAAAACTATTTATTCTCTAATTAATATTTTAATATGTTTAAGCTATTAATCCTATTGGCGAAAAATTTATCTGTCTTTAATTGAAGAATCAATGATGAAAACAACGAATATCCTACTATAAACAAACATTCATAAAAAATGTTAAATAGTCTTGGACTAGTTGTGAATCTTGATGTATCAATTAGTGGCATGCAGAGCGGAAGTATATGTGAACCAAAGTTATTAATGTAGATTTGCGGTACCTCCCACTTTAATGCAAAATTCTTTTCAGATAAACTTTAATTTTATTGTAAGACTATCGTTTTCCACAAAATCAATGGCGAAGAAGTCTCAAAGTCGAAACGCAAGGATTATCTCTCAATATCAAATTGTCCATTTAGTATTTCTTTACTATATTAGTTCAGCTCAATAACATCAATCAGTTCGTATATAGCCCATACATGTGTATTTTTTTTAAGCATAAAACCGGCATAATCTCCAACTCTTTATTTAAGTCGACAAAAAAAAAGAGAGTAGATTTAGAGGAAAAAATGTCTAAAATACCATAAGTTAAATATCATTATTCAAAAATATGCTCAATAAAAAAATACTAACATTTGGATTTATGATTTAATGATTATTATTTAGGATTTAATATTATGTTGGAGTTGGATTTATAAATGTTTTATAAATATTTAGAAAAATTAGTCTAGTGTTATTTTTTCAAAAAAAAATTGATATTTATAAAAATAGTCATTCATTAATGATAAATTTGAAAAGTGGTATCAAACATGTGGTAGAATTGAATTTTCCCCATTTTAGAGTTCATTTCTCTCATTTTCAAAGTTGATAGTATTTTCTTGTTGTCAAATTTTAGTTTTGGTTATTGTATATTGGTTTAAATTCTTTGCTACGAAGACAATCGAGTTACAAATTATATACCTATCAATATAAGTATTGATTTATCAACGAAATATTTGATTGGGTTTGTTAAGAATAGAGATTGAAAGAAAAAGATTGCAAGACTCAGTTTACAAAAAAAAAAGGATTGCAAGACTTATGTGGAAAATTTCTTTTGCACTACTATGTGTATTGCACGTTCATCCATTTGATTTGTAATATGATTCTGTATCTCCTCTTTCCTGTTTCTGGAATATCAAATCCAATATTCTTGTCGTTTTCTACAATATGCATTTTATTGCATCGTATATAAATAAATATTACATTTATTTAGTTTGATATTTTCTTTTATTTAGTTTGATATTTGATATAGTACTGTTGCCTCTACTATAAAATTAGTTTGAATCTTTCGTTTTTCAACCCCTTCGAAAGCCTACACAGACTACTTGCTTTGCAATTTGATTCTCTCGCAGTCAGATAGACAAAATGATCTCTGGTGGTATACATGTCATGTTCCTCCATCTATACATTTTCAAAAAGCTAACTTCTTCAAAAATATTCTTAATATATTGCAACATAATACTCTAAGATGCAGTATGTAAAGTTATATGGTTTCCTATAATTTTAATTTTCAAAAGTTGTGCATCAGCAAATATTAAGATCTCCCATCTACTTGTATATAAGAAATTTTGATATTTGTTTTCTCTTCCTCACTCAATGGAAAACTATATCAAATATATGAAATTTGATCAAAAAGCAAGTGTTGCGCGAACTCTGTTTCCTCTCTCAAAATTGTGGAAGCACAAGAACATTCATTCTTTAAAAAAGAAAAAAAAATTCCTTTAACAAATCAATGAATGTTATGAGAAAGATGCAAATAAAATTTAAAAACCAGAAAACAAATAAAGATCATAATCTATATACTGAAACAGAGCAGAAGGCAAGGAAACACACAAGACCAAATGATAGTTTCTTGGATACTGAGATGCAGTATGATAAAATGAAGCTAAGATTCACTTCACAGCTGCTGGTCAAGGAAAGGATCCTTTGGTGAATTCGAGCCAAGATACTCAGACACCTCAGTAACATACGTTTTCAGCTTCGAAGTGGTTCGTGCAAGCCAGTCAGCGTTTGCCTGATCCATCTCCTCCTTCATGTTAGCCATCTTCTCTTCCTCTTCCAACATGCTAACCCATCTCTTACCCATATACATTTTAACCGCATCCACTCCTTGTTTCACCACTTCCTCGGGAGGGACCACGAGCGGGTTCTGTTCCAAGTTCAGTTTAGTCAGGTTCACTAGCGTGCCAAAAGCGTCAGGAAGAGAATGGATCTGGTTGTTGCTTAAGTCGAGTTCTTGGAGGCTAATGAGATCTCCGAATGAAGTAGGGAGATCTTGGAGATCGCTGAAGTTACTGCTCAGGTTGAGATACTCGAGGTTAGTGAGCAAACCGAAAGATTCTGGAAGACCGTTAAGTTCGTTGAAGTGTGCGTCAAGGTAACGTAAGGATCTCATTTCGCCTACGGATGTTGGTAAGGATCTGATTTTGTTGAGATGGATCAAGAGCTTCTCTAGATGCACTAGCTCGAATCCGATGTTGGTTGGTAAGTATGTGAGATTGTTGTAGCTTGTATCCAAGACAACCAAAGACCTAAAAATATAAATAAATAAAAGTACTAAAGAAACAGAGAACTTTACTAAAACAGAGGAAATAATTAAAAAAAAAAACTTTGAAGTAGAATACACTTACCCACATTTGCAGATGGAATCAGGTAAAGTTGTGAGTTTATTACAGGAGACATTCAAGATCTTTAGTTTTGACAATAAACCAATAGAATCAGGTAATGTCTCTAGAAAATTTGTGGATAAATCAAGTTCAAGAAGGCTGTGCAGTCCAGCAATAGAATCAGGTATGGCCTGTTTGTTACCAAACATAACCATTAATCAGCACAAGTAAAACATACTCCCTCCGTTTCAGAAAATTAAAAGTTTTAGTTTTTTCACATATATTAAAAAAAAAAACATAAATTTTTTATTACCAATACATCATTTATTATAAATAACAAATTCCTATATTTTTTAACCAATAAAATTTTAAGAAACACAATTTATTATTTTGGAATCCACAGTTTTTCATTAAGTTATACATTGAAAATGTAAAAAAATATTTTTTTAAACAAATATTATTTCTAGAATGTACATCTTTTCAAAACGGAATGAGTATTTCTGACTCTAACATAAGTTTGGGGCTTAAAGTCCGGTCCTAAACCACATCATCAATCATCATGTAATATTAGTTTCGTCTCAACATTTTTGCAACATTACCATATAGATAGAAAAAAAAAAAAAAAAAACTGACCTGAAGCTGATTGTTATAAAGGTTAAGGACAAGGAGACCTTGAATCCGACCAAAAGCTTCAGGTAGCAATTTAAGTTTCCGACCAGACAAATCAACACGATCCAACGGTTTCTCCTCAGCTTGCTGCAATAAACTCACAACCTCTTCATTAACTTCAACCTCCTTAGCTTCCTCCTCAGCCACAGCCGCAGCATTCTTCTCAGCAGACTCATAAATCGTCACAAGCCTCTCCTCAGCTTCTTTCAAAAGCTTCTCATAAGATTCATGAAGCTCGTTAAGCTTAAGGATAGAGTTGTACCAAGTCTTCTCTTGATCCACAGCTTCCTTCCTCTTCTTCTCCTTCTCCTCCGCCACTTCGATATCATCCGGAGAGAGAGCAATCTCCTCGAAAGACTCTGATAAAGAGGCGTCGATCTCGGAGAGTCTTGCACGTGCTTTGTCGACGGTCTCGTGGTCTGGTCTCGGTCCTAAGGTTCGGAGGACGGATCGGGTTTGTGAGACGTCGGCGATGGCGCTTGTCATGGAAGCGAGGACATCGGGGTGAGCTAAGTGAGGCATCTGAGTAACGATCTCGATGGAGTGGCTTGAGGAGGAAGAAGGATCGGATTTGGACGGTGGTTTATCTCCATCGGAGGAAGATTTGGAGGTGAAGGAAGGGAGACGATCTAAGACGTAAGAGAGAACAGGGAAGTTCGTGGGGTTGAGCTCTGACGCCATGGTTGTGGAGCTTGAGAGACAAGTCACAAATTTGGGGAAGGAAGAAGATGAGGAAAGTGATTATTATTACATTTGGGGTAATGAAAGTCGTTGTTACCTTCCGTAGTATTTGCATCTCTATTGCCAAGTCAATGATGATCCATGTAATAATACGTGGACATGCACTATTACACATGACACGTGTTGCGTCGTTAACGACAAGAATAAATAAATAAATAATAATAAACCAATTTAGGGCACGAACTGATTGATGTCCTAAAATTTTAAAACTAATTTGATTATTGCGTTGACAAAATTTTTTTTTTGATTATCGTGAGATAAATCCACATAAACATGAAACAAAGACCAAAATCATTTTAGAATTCAGATAACTTCCATTGGAATTTTTACGCTTAATATCTCAGAAATGAAGATTTTATTATTATCTTATTAGATAATCATTCAAATGGATGAAAATCTCACCTGAAATGTTCTTAAATAAAATAATGTAAAATGTTTTTGAGTGAGATTTCACCATTTGCATTATCAATTAATAAATTAGTTTAATGTTTTTTATGTGAGATAAAACTTTTCCGTTAAAAGTGCTTTTAGTTAAAATGTTAACTGTAAATCTAGTTGTCTTAACATAGTAGTATATTTCAAAAACTAATTAAGATTAACGTTGATGGTACAGTATAAAATAATGCTATAAACGTGAGGATTCTTGAAAAAATACTACTCCCTCCGTTCCTTAAAGATACATATTCTAGGAAAAAAAATTGTTTCTAAAAGATCTATTTTTTACATTTTCAAGGTATGTTTTATTAAATAATTGTAAATTTCAAAAAACTTAATTGCACTAATTGATTTTTGATTGGTTTAAAATTATAGAAAGAAGATAAATACAAAAAACTATGCAAATTTATTATGTTTTATTAAAAAGTGTGCAAAAACTAGAATATGGATCTTTTAGGAACAGAGGGAGTATTTAATAATATATTTCTTGCCAAGTTGTCTTAAAAGGCTACATTTTCAAATCACAATATCTCTGATAGCGACCACATAGGAGTTATTTATAAATTTTATTATCCAAAAGGTCAAGAAAATGAGCAGAAAGTTGAATAAGTCTAAACCAAACACACACATAACTATGAAGGTTTTGTCTCCTTTATAGATTCTCCGTATCTGTCTAAACAACAATTGGATTTGTATATAGACAGGGTTCGGTTTTTCATAAAACCCATAATAACAAAAAAAGAGCTTCTTCAATCTCAATGGAGAAGAGTAATGGTCAGCGAGTGATTCTCTTCCCTTTGCCATTACAAGGCTGCATAAACCCTATGCTTCAGCTCGCCAACATCCTTCACTCAAGAGGCTTCTCCATCACTGTAATCCACACGCGTTTCAACGCTCCAAAAGCTTCAAACCATCCTCTCTTCACCTTCTTACAGATCTCAGACGGCTTGTCTGAATCCCAGATCAAAGACGATCCTACCTCTAATGTTATGTCTCTTATCGCGCAAATCAATGTCAACGCTGAGTCTCCGTTTCGTGATTGCTTGCAAACAATCTTGTCTCAAGAATCTGAAAGGGTTAGCTGTTTGATCGATGATTGTGGATGGCTCTTCACACAAAATGTTGCGGAGAGTTTGAATCTCCCGAGGCTTGTTCTCTCTACTTTCAAAGCCACTTTCTTGAATGCTTATCCTATTCTCCCGCGTATCAGAACCAAAGGCTATCTTCCAGTTTCAGGTAAATCTTGTTTCTCTCTTTCTTTAGGGTTTAGGACCTGTCTTGTAAGATGGTTTTTGAACCTTTGTTGTCTTAGATTCTAAAGCAGAGGACTCTGTTCTTGAGTTCCCTCCGCTTTTAAAGAGAGATCTTCCAAGGATTTTTGGGGAAGATGGAGAGAAACTGGATCCATTCTTAGAGATTATTGTCGACACAACGATGAAATCTTCAGGTCTATTATTCATGTCCTGCGAAGAGCTTGAGAAAGAATCTTTAAATCTTGCTAAAGAAACTTTCAAGGTTCCAGTCTTTGCGATTGGTCCGTTTCACAGCTACTTCTCTGCTTCGTCAAGTAGCCTTTTCAGACAAGACGAGACTTGCGTTCATTGGTTAGATAATCAAGAAGAGAAATCAGTTCTCTACGTGAGTCTAGGAAGCGTTGTGAACATAAAAGAAACAGAGTTCTTGGAGATTGCTTGGGGTTTAAGCAATAGCAAACAGTCTTTCTTGTGGGTGGTACGACCTGGATTGGTCTCTGGCGCAGAGTGGATCGAACCACTCTCCGAGGAGCTCGTGAGGAGCCTTGAAGAGAAAGGGAAGATAGTGAAATGGTCTCCACAACAAGAGGTTCTTGCGCACCGAGCCGTTGGTGGGTTTTTGACACACAATGGTTGGAACTCGACGTTAGAGAGTATATGCGAAGGGGTTCCGATGATATGCTTACCTGGAGGTTGGGATCAAATGCTGAACGCAAGATTCGTGAGCGATGTTTGGAGGGTTGGAGTTCACTTGGAAGGTCAGATAGAGAGGAGGGAGATCGAGAAAGCTGTGAGGTTACTAATGTTGGAAAGTGAAGGAGAAAAGATTCGTGAGAGGATGAATGTTTTGAAAGATGAGGTTGGGAGATCTGTTAAAGATGGAGGATCATCATATCGATCTATAGAAACCCTAACGAATCATATACTATCGTTGTAACAATGGGAATATACGTTCAAGATATACTTCAATGTTCCTCTAAAAGTAAAAATATTCTCAATATTGGTTTCATTGTGTAATAAACTATTTATGTCTAAATATTTTTATTCAAGATGTACTAAAAGCTATATATATATATATATGGCAAGTGATGTAATCGAATTTTTTTAATAAACTTGTTTGTTTGCATTTTATAGTGAGACTGAATTTCATTAGCAAAAAAAATATTAGGTTACTGTATAAGAGCTGGAGTCTTGGATAATTAACAAGTATATCGACAACCTTTTAATTTTAAACTAGCTTTTGAGTGTGAGTTAGGTTCATCGCTGATGTCTCTACATCTATTACTACTACATGAGACATCAGCGTTGAATTTTTCAACATGTCAATCTCGTCTCCTACTACGTCCTCTACAAACGAGAGTCCAACATCGGATTCTCTGTATGCACTTCATTTCTCTTACAACTCTGGTGCTTTAATCACACCAGTGCTTCTTCGAGGTGACAATTACCAGGATGGACAAACTCAGCACAAATAAGGGTAATATATTTCTTACCATATTGGGCTTTTCAATAAGAAAACCATCGACAAAAGATATGATTCTTGAATAATATCATCGAGATAATATATTTCTTACCAAGTTGTCTTAAAGGCTACATTTTAAAAATCACAATATCTCTGGTAGCCACCAGATATGAGTATATATAAATTTAATAATTTCAAATGGTCACGAAAATGATTTCTAAACCTTCATAGTTTATGTGTGTGTATAAAAATGGAGAATCAATCGTTTTAGATTCTCCATGTCTGTCTCAACAACTATTGACTACAGTATATATAGAGGTCCAGTCTTTTCATAAAACCCATAAGAACAAAAGAAAAAAAAAAGAAGAAGAGCTTGTCAATTTCAATGGATAAGAGTAATGGTCTGCGAGTGATTCTTTTCCCTTTGCCATTACAAGGTTGCATAAGCCCTATGCTTCAGCTGGCTAACATCCTCCACTCAAGAGGTTTCTCCATCACTGTCGTCCACACTCGCTTCAACGCTCCAAAAGCTTCAAGCCATCCTCTCTTCACCTTCTTAGAGATTCCAGATGGCTTGTCTGAAACTCAGATCAAAGATGATCCTACTTCAAATGTTCTGTCTTTGGTCGAGCAAATCAACATCAACGCTGAGTCTCCGTTTCGTGACTGCTTGCAAAAGCTGCTGGTTCAAGAATCAGAGAGGGTTAGTTGCTTGATCGATGATTGTGGATGGCTCTTCACGCAATCTGTTGCAGAGAGTCTAAATCTTCCGAGGCTTGTTCTCTCTACTTTCAAAGCCACTTTCTTGAATGCTTATCCTATTTTCCCGCGTATTCTAACCAAAGGCTATTTTTCACTTTCAGGTAATCTAGTTTCTCTCTTCCTCTTTATATTTTATTTTTTATTTATTTTGGGTTTCGTGTGACTTTGTCTTTTGTTACCTTTTGATAGGGCTGAGCATTTTATATGTATAATTTGACTCGATTCAATTTTCGTTTCAATTTGATCAGAAAAATTTAGATATACGTAAATTTCGAAGCAAACCAAATAATGAAAATTAATATCCATTAAAATCAAAGCAAATCACAAACTGAAATTTTGAGAAACAAGTATTTGTTCCAACAGATATATAAATATACATATATTTTGATTTACTTTTAAATGTTTAAGTTATATAATTATTATTATAACATATGATTTAATAAATTTTGTGACAATTATAAAACTTTCTTAAGTTCTATCTTATTGCTATTGTTAACCAAGTTTAAAACTTACAAAACTTCACTACTTCTTTTAATTTTTTATTTTATATATCTTGTAAAAATATATTTTAAGGGAAAAATTTGTATAAATTTCTTGATTATTTGTATTAAACAAAACATATGAGATATTTGTAAGTATTCTTAAGTATCCATAAATATTTATATATTATTTGGATATCCATTTTTCTGGATAAACATATTTTTTTGCGAAGCAAACCAAATCAAAAATTAATTATCCTTAACATACAAATCAAATCACAAATTCTGTAAAATTTGATACAAAGCAAATCACAAATTCTGTAAAATTTGATACAAAGCAAATCACAAATTCTGTAAAATTTGTGAGTGTTCGTTATGTGCCCACCTCTGATGGTTTTTGAACTTTTGTGTCGTAGATTGGGAAGCAGAGGATTCTGTTCTTGAGTTCCCTCCACTTCTAAAGAGAGATCATTCATGGCTTTTCAGGGAAGACGGAGAGAAACTCAATCAATTCTTTGATACTGTTGTCAAGAACACGATGAGATCTTCAGGTCTATTATTCATGTCGTGCGAAGAGCTGGAGAAAGATTCTTTGACTCTTGCTAAAGAAACTTTTATGGTTCCAGTCTTTGCGATTGGTCCATTTCACAGCTACTTCTCTGCTTCGTCTAGTAGCCTTTTCAGACAAGACGACACTTGTATCCATTGGTTAGATAATCAAGATGATAAATCAGTTATCTACGTGAGTCTAGGAAGCGTTGTGAACATAACGAAAACAGAGTTCTTGGAGATTGCTTGGGGTTTAAGCAACAGCAAACAGTGTTTCTTGTGGGTGTTACGACCCGGTTTGGTCCTAGGCGCAGAGTGGAACGAGTTGTTCTCTGAGGGGCTCCTGAGAAGCCTTGAAGAGAAGGGGAAGATAGTGAAATGGTCTCCACAAGAGGAGGTTCTTGCGCACCGAGCTGTTGGTGGGTTCTTGACACACAATGGTTGGAACTCGACGTTAGAGAGTATATGCGAAGGGGTTCCAATGATCTGTTTGCCTGGAGGTAGCGATCAAATGCTGAATGCAAGATTTGTGAGCGATGTCTGGAGGGTTGGGATTCACTTGGAGGGTAAGATCGAGAGGAAAGAGATCGAGAAAGCTGTGAGGATGTTAATGGTTGAAAGTGAAGGAAAAAAGATTCGTGAGAGGATGAATGTTATGAAAGATGAGGTTGGGAGATCGGTTAAAAATGGTGGCTCGTCTTTGAGATCCATAGAAACCCTAGTGAATCATATACTATCACTGTGACATTTTGGGTACATTTGCAAAATATACCTGAACGTTCCTATAAAATGAAAATAGTTCTCAATATTTTCCTGATTGTGGAATAATCTATTTATGTTAAAAAAAACATTATATTTAGAAATGTAATAAAAGTTACAGCGATCGTATATGTAATCGAAAATTTTCTAATAAACTTCTTTGTTTGCATCGCAAACAACATACCATTAGGTGAACGAACCCTTCTTTTTGTTATCAACTACTATTAGGTTAAGCCTCTTTATTTAAATTAATAAATATTAATAAGATTTGTATATTTAAAATATATTATTGTTGTGCATTTACATGTGTGCTTTTATATTTCTCTTGATCAATAGTAATAAATTTAGCACTAAATCAAAACCAACTGTTCACTGTAATGATTGATCACACACAAGAAAAGCAACATTCCTGTCCTAATCAAGTACACGTGTCAGACTTATCATATATGTCACTAGTCGTAGGCCCAGTTTTCAGTGGATAAAACTACTTTTCTTATTTCTACGGTCTTCATTCTATAAAAATCATTATCTAGAATTATAATCAATTGCAAAAGAGAGGAAGAAGGGGAAGAATCTTGATTCTTGAAATGGAGAAACGAAACAAGAGACAAGTGATTCTCTTCCCTCTACCATTACAAGGATGCATAAACCCTATGCTTCAGCTAGCAAAGATCCTATTCTCAAGAGGCTTCTCAATCACCATCATCCACACGCGTTTCAACGCGCCCAAATCTTCAGACCAGGGCCGGCCCTGGGCAATGCCTAGTGAAACATTTGTTTCAGGCCCCCAAAAATTTTGAAGAAAATTACATGAGTATAGGCCCCCAAAATTTTTTTGAGACCCCCAAAAATTTTTTTACATAGAAATCGCCACAGGCCCCCAAAATCTCAGGACCGGCCCTGCTTCAGACCACCCTCTCTTCACTTTCTTACAGATCCCCGACGGTCTGTCCGAAGCTCAAAAGCAATCTCGTGATGTCCTGCTTCAGCTCACGGTTCTCAACAACACCTGCGAGAACCCGTTACGAGAGTCTTTGACTAAACTCATCAAAGGTTCAGAAACAGAGGAGGAAGGTGAGATCAGCTGTTTGATCGATGATTCTGGATGGGTTTTCACACAGTCCGTTGCGGAGAGTTTCAATCTTCCGAGATTTGTCCTCTATGCGTATAAACTTACTTTCTTTCTCGGACACTTGCTTGTCCCTCAGCTTCGCCGTGAAGGGTTTCTTCGGTTTCCAGGCACGGTTTCGACTCTATATAAAGCTCCCTCTTTTTCAATTTACATTACAGGAAAAAATTAGTTTATTCATTTTATAATTTTGATACAAAATTTATTAACATTTTATTTTTTATTTACTTATTTTATAGATTGGATGAAGTTAAATGTATGAGTAATTATATTTTATTTTGAAAATATGTAAAATTAAATATTTTCTTAATTTCGTACAAAAATCTAAAAAAATAATATATATCACTATCTTTTTTTTTTCAAAACCAGACCAACCAGTGGAATTGATAATAAAATATATTAAATTTAATAAAAACGTATTAAAACAATCAACAATAGATAAATTATGGTAAGATTTATACTTGATAACTATTTATATATAATTATGTATCATATTATTAAATTTACTTTTAAAAATTTACATTTTAAAAATATTGCATTAGATTATTGAACTATGTTTGACCATTATCCGGTTTAATTTCTGGTCCGGTTTTAAGAACATTACTGTTTCTTGAACTTTCACGGTTCTGTTTCAGATTCCGAAGCAGAGGATCTTGTTCCGATGTTTCAACCACTTCGAAAGAAAGATCTTGCGAGAATCATGGGGAGAAAAGATCAGGTTGAGCCGCTGGATGCTTACTTGGTCAAGATACTCGAAACGACTAAGCCAGCTTCAGGTCTTATAGTCATGTCCTGCGAAGAGCTTGACAGAGATTCACTTGCTGAGTCTCAAAAACTCTTTACCTTTCCCATATACCTTATTGGTCCACCTCACATCCATGACGTGGCAGGCTCGTCTAGCAGCTTGTTCGAACCGGACCAGAGCTGCATTCCATGGTTAGATAAGCAAGAAACGAGATCAGTGATCTACGTGAGCTTAGGGAGCATTGTGACTCTTAGCGAGTCTCAGTTCTTGGAGATTGCTTGGGGTTTAAGCCAAACCAACCTATCTTTCTTGTGGGTTGTTCGGCCTGCATCTGTCCAAGGAAGAGACTGGATAGAGTCGTTACCATTAGGGTTCATGGAAGGTCTTAACGGGAAGGGGAAGATAGTGAAATGGGCACCGCAGCTAGATGTTCTTGCGCATAGAGCCACGGGAGGGTTTTTGACTCATAATGGATGGAACTCGACGCTAGAGAGTATATGCGAAGGGGTTCCTATGATCAGCTTGCCTTTTGTTTGGGACCAGATGCTAAACGCGAGATTCATCAGCGATGTGTGGAGGATAGGGATTCACTTAGAAGGTCGTATGGAGAGAAGAGAAATCGAGAGAGCTGTGATAAGACTAATGGTTGAACCTGAAGGAGAAGAGATGCGAGAGAGAGTTAAAGTGTTGCGAGGTGCAGTAAGAAGATCGGTTCAACGAGGAGGCTCGTCATCTCGGTATCTAGATGATCTTGTTGATCGTATTAAATCAATCTAGCTTCATAGTTTGAACTTTGAATGTGTTTCAAAAAAAAAAAAAGGTTCATAGTTTGAATAGAGTGTGACCACCAGAGGTCATTAGCTCAACTTTAAAAGACCCTTGCCACTGTGTCAGAAGTTTCCGGTTCGAATGACCGTTAGGATAACACTAACATTACATGTTGTTGTTTTGGGTTTGATGGATTTCCGAAACTTTAGGTATTTAGGAAAAGATGTGACCCTAATAGTCTTGTCCTGCCAAGGCTGATGATGTCTCTCAGCAAAGCAAGAAGGTGAAGAAACTTGAAGATGAAGCTTTTCTAGATTATTCTCAAACCACAACGTCCTAACAATGTGCCCATCTTTCTTTTCAATAAGAGAAGTATAAAAAGTGAAGATTTAAATAATACACAAGAATTTCTTTACAATGTGCTCAATGGGCAGAAGAAGCATAAAAAAAAAGGAGAGGATTCTTGACTAATAATATCATAGAGATAATATATTTCTTGCCAAATTGTCTTAAAAAGGTTACATTTTCATAATTACAACATCTCTGTTTGAGGTGAAAATGGTTTGAACAATATAAAGAGAGTTGAGGGCGAACAAAGACGTTTTATTAGATCTGAACAAGGAGTTACAAAGAGAAGAGTAAAGAGGCGGATTGGCCGGAAATACAAGATGGTGAGTAAACGGGAAGGTGACTAAACAGGAGGGTGACTAAACGAGATGGTGACTAAACAGGAGGGTGGGTAAACCCTAGATCTAACCACCTAATCGCTAAGTAACCCTAGATCTAGCCGCCAAGTGAGTATGTCCAATTCCGGATTCCCCTTTCCCTTTGCTGCCTCTCTCCTTTTATAGATCCAATCTTCGTGTTCGCCCTAACTTGCCCTAGCCTTGTTGGGCCTTATTACCGCTAGGCCCGTTTAGTAGTTCGGGTAAATCGTTCTTCCGCCGACTCTTCTAGAACACATTTAGTCGCGCTACTAAACGCGTCTCATACCGAGTCGTTTTGGTGTCACCCGGTGGGCCGAGTGTATTGTCAGACTGGGCTAAGTTTTCCTCATTTGATGGGCCTTGTGGAGGGGTATAACCCATCTCCTACAATAAGTCCCCCCCAGTTCACTTGTGAATCCGTAGGATTCTAAGTGAATTTATGGATCAGGTTTGATCAGATGGGAAAACTTGCAAGAATGCACGTTTAGGCGACACCCCCGACGCGTCTAGTATTGCGGCTAGAACGTCGATTGCAAGCGTGTTTAGGCGACACTTCGAGCAGGTTTAGTCGCGCGACTGGGAGGTCGATCATGAGCACGTTTAGGCGACAACTCGAGCAGGTCTAGTCTCGCGACTAGAGCGTCGATCATGAGCGTGTTTAGGCGACACATCGAGCAGATCTAGTCTCGCGGCTAGGACGTCGATCATGAGCACGTTTAGGCGACACTTCGAGCAGGTCTAGTCGCGCGACTGGGACGTCGATCATGAGCACATTTAGGCGACAACTCGAGCAGGCCTAGTCTCGCGACTAGGACGTCGATTAGGAGCACATTTAGGCGACACCTCGAGTAGATCTGGTCTCGCGACTAGGATGTCATCTATTGTCGCGTAAATGCACCGGTTTGGGCTTGCTTGGTAGTGCGACTAGCTTGTCAGTCGCGAGAGCATCTAAGCGACAACTCGGGCGTGTCTAGTCTCGCGACTAGGAAGTCTCATATTGTCGCGTAAAGGCGTCATGTTGAGATTATTTAGTAGTATGACCGAGTTGATGCGTGTGAGGGTGCGTTTAGGCGACACCTTGAGCGCGTCTAGTCTCGCGGCTACTGTGTTTCCTATTGCTTCATAGAGACGTCTGAAACATTAACTAAATTATCACTCGTGGAGCAACACTTAGTCTTAGTAGATCTTCTGAGTTGAGGGGCACATTCAGCCTCTTAACCATCTTCTGGTTCAATCTCAATCGCTGCTCGGTTGAGCTCTGGTTTAATCTCGGTTGGGATAAACCGGTATCTAGAGTTTAACCAAACTGGATTAGGTTAAGGGTTAATAGATCTTGGATAATCTCTTGGGTTTTTGCAGTTAATGGGCTTATTTAGGCCCGCTTAAATGCATTAATTGCACTTAGAAAATCGTGCCTCTCGACTTTGCTATAAATAGGTAGATTCTCTCCTTCTTTCATTATTCTTCTCTGCAAACTCAGGTACTTTCTTCTCTCCCTTCTCTCTACTTTTAGCTTTCTCTCTCTAAGTACTCTGTTTCGAGTTA